ATAGACATTCACATCACATGGTTACACGAACATGATGAAACCTTTATCAACACAAAATAGTTTACTAGCTGGCCAAAAAAAATAGAAAAAGTAATTCACGAAAGCGATCTTGGTTTTGGAGTGGCTCGGACCAAAAAAGTTAAACTACGTAGTTATCATAATATATACCCAAAACAAAGCGAAAGTGACATTAAGATTGGATAAACATGTAAGTAGAACATTCACCAACGGGGAAGTAATCGTCACTCCTACGTCCACTCCCTCTCTTGTTGATATAACCCGGATAATGACTCAGCTCGAACTTCGATGTCTTAGCCAGCTTCAAACCTTCTCCTTTCCCCAGCTTCTTTATCCCCCAGTCGCTAAATGGATACGTTGTCTTGTGTGTGATATGGATCTCCCCGTCCTCTTTCAACATTTCCTTAGCGTTCTCAAGAAAACCCCTCACTAACTCTTTGTGGCTCCTGATTCAAACCGCAGCGTTTTATCATTACATCGGTCCATAACTTTATCGTAAAAGAAGAAAATGAAAAGAGTGTGTATTCAGTTACTCGATGGCCCTAGATAAACATTCACGACCAAAGAAACGAGACCCTACGTGAGGGAAATTGAAGACAATGCGGTCATAGCGTTGCAAGCTCAAACTATTATCGAAGCTCATTGTGTGCACGTCAACCTCATGCTGAATATCGCACCCGTATCTCTTCAGTTTGCTTATGTTATCCATTGCGTCCATATATTTTACGCACAGTTCATCTACAATGTAACATTTTGTTGATTCAAGTAATCAGTTCATCTGGATGTAAAATTTTAGCTGGCGACAGATTTATATTATATATGTTCATATAAGAAATGGGTTTTACATACCGTCTGAATCGAGAGAGGTCGCGGTAATGTTAATGGCCGATCCAAAAGCTGAAGCTAGACATAGTGAGAATGAGAAGTCTCCTTCTCCAACAAGAAGGATTTTGTGTTTGCTACTGTAGTGTCTTACCCATTTTTCTGAAATATCAATTTTATCTGAAGACTTCTTATTCTCTAAACCATATATATATACACGCACACATACACTCATAGAGTCACAACACATAGCGTTGCTTTCAAGTTCATTGTTGTATTTTCATTCGGCTCTTAGAGTTCTGTGCCGGTTTTATAAATCGAAGTTTATTACTTACCCTTTCATATACCCTTTTCTTGTAATAATAAAACCGCTTCACATTCATTTATTCTTACAATTATGATCCTAAATATCATATTTGAAAGTTGAAATCATTACCTTTAGACCTTTAACGAGTTTATTCACTATAAAATAAGTTGAAAATATCTTGGTCATTTTACCGTTAAATTAAGTTAAATCAAGTTATCGCCAATACAAAAAGATCCAGGAGATTGAAATGATGAAACTACAAAGAGAACCAAAACCATTGTCAAAAGACAAAAATGGAACGATTATGACTTCTTTCCACAGGAGAAAAGCTTTTTCTTAGTGCTGAAGTTATTTTATGGATCCGCAACTGACCACAAATATTACAACTACCCAAAAAAAGTGTTTGAAGATAAAAGAAGCACACTTACCTAAGGAACAAATTCATTTCGATTATCTTCATAGTTCATACAACCCCAAAGATAAAGCTAATTTTTCAAACCTTAGACTAAATCTAAAAGCAACGTGAAGAATATATAATTCTCTCTTCATTCTACCTTTTTTCTTTTAAGTATTATCATCATAAGTTTTCTATCCAAAATCATAGTTTATAATATGATAGTCAAATATTGCTCCTTAATTAAAAACCTATAAATTTTTCGTATCAAAAACGTTGTTTTAGTATAGTAGCATAGGCAGGCATGCATGCATCTAACACTTTATTAAAAACATACAGCATTTAAACTTGTATATCTTTTCATATGTAAGTTTAAATATTAAAATGTCAACTAATAAGTCCTAGACTAAAAGTTAATATTCTGGTATGCTAGCTGATTGGTAATTCCATATAGACTGGAAGATTTATTATATCAACAAGTATTTACTTTTGAGTAGTTCAATCACAAGTATCTGTATTCTGTCTCCTGTAATCAATCAAAACTCTTTATTTAAATAATATAATAATAATAATCTCAGGTTTAGTTAGGAAAAGCCACTTGTTAAGACTTAAGAAGAAGAAGAGAAAAAGAAAAAGGAAAAACTTAAAAGAAACGCATGTAGTTTTCAAACTTTAAACCCACCGAGATTTGCTTTACTAGTTCTTCAAAACGACACGCATGGTCCCACTCATTACAAAACCAAACCCCATTATGCAAAAGCTCCCTTCTTCTTTTCCCCAAAGCCAAACTCTCGCTTTCGCTTCTTTTTATTTTTTTTTCACACAACAAAAACATAACTTTAATCTTGTATTATTTTTCCTATTAAACACATAACCATAACAAATTTTCAATTTTCCTTTCATTGATCACATAACCCATGCCAAATCTACCTCCTCTTCCTCCTCCACCGCAGTTGCAACCGTCTGAAACGCCGCCATGGGACACACCATCTTCTGTATGGTATACTCCAAGAACCACTCCATGGAGGACACCACGAAGCACACTATCAACTCCAGTTAACCAAGTGGTCTTGACAAAGCCAGCAGCAACGGTTAGATTCAACAGTCTCGATGTAGAGCCGAGGAAAGATGCGGTGATCCTCTGGCAGCCGCGGAGTAGCAGGACTAGTCTGTGGATATGGTGTGTTGCCGGTTTATGCCTTGTGTTCAGCCTTCTACTTATCTTCTTTGGGATTGCGACTCTGATTGTGTTTCTTGCGATAAGACCAAGAACCCCTGTTTTCGACATCCCCAACGCAAACCTACACACCATCTACTTTGACTCTCCTGTATTTTTCAATGGCGATTTGTCCATGCTGGTTAATTTCACCAACCCTAATAAGAAGATTGACGTGAGGTTTGAGAAGCTTGTGATTGAGCTCTTCTTCTTCAATAGATTGATTGCAGAGCAAGTGGTCCAGCCATTCTCGCAGAAAAAGCGCGAGACGAGGTTGGAACCAATCCGTTTGATCTCTAGTTTGGTATGCTTGCCTGTAAACCACGCGGTGGAACTCAGGAGACAGGTGCAAAACAACAAGATAGAATATGAAATTAGAGGTACCTTCAACGTCAGAGCTCATTTTGGAATGATTCATTACTCTTATCTGCTGCACGGGAGGTGCCAACTTCAGATGACCGGTCCGCCAACCGGAATCCTGATATCTCGTAGCTGCACGACAAAGAAACAATGAAGAAGACAATATGGAATGGTTCTCTGAGTCAATAGTCATCTTCATAGTCTCTAGCTTCGGCTTATTCTGTAACTATATCTCCATTTGCTTACCCGCAAATTGTATAAAAGAACAAGACCTAGTAAACTCTATCCAAGAACAGAGATCGGACTTTGTACTATTTCCAAGATAAAGAAACTGGAAAGATATTATCTTTCTATGCAACAGATTCATAATTGATCCATTAGACAAAGTGCCAAGAACAGTGTCCAATTTTAATACAGTTCAACATACCTGAACCACCAGAGAAAAGATTTAAGACCAAAAGCACACGAGGTACAAGCATTAGATTCCTAAGTTGGTTCCCTTTAGGACTTAATGTATTCAAAAACGCACAAGATAATAAAGAGGAAGCTTACCCTTCTAGCATATGCTTTCATAGAGGATTTTAAAATTCAAAATCCCAACTAAAATTAATATTTTCTCCAGGAAAGTTTTGATATGAGATACAATGGTCTCAGGGAGAGAAAAGTTAAGCAGAAATTGGTTGGCTAAAACCACAACTGGTTTCATAGACAGACATGTAAAGCTGATTGTATATAAAATACCCCACAAGTCTCACCTAATGGGGCTTTAAGAAACATCACATGTCTAACGGTGGACTGAAACAGGGATCATCTGAAACTACTTTCAGAAAGAAAGAAGTAAAGCAACCAAATCTCTTTCTTTTTTCTGCAGTCCCTCAAACTAACTAGTATCAATTGATTAGACAATACCAACTTTGAGTATCAAGAAGAATGAGAAATGAACAAGAAACTTGACATGTCTAATGGTGAACATGAAAATACCACGTTGCTCCCTTAATTCCATTCTACTTTCCCAAGGTGATGTGATCCTAACGATTCATAATTAGCCATATGGAGAACAAGCTTGAGCATTCGCTGATCCTATTCATCCCTTGAGAACTCTCAAAGCGTAGACATCAGTCAAAACCTAATATCCAGAAACCATAGCAAAAAAAGAAGAAGTCCTTGATGCTCGCAAGATAAAGGGAATTCAGTTTGAAAACTGCTAATCATGTGGTAAAAGCATCAGATATAAAATATCCTCCATAAAGATTCAATCTTTTGGTACAATCAATATATATCTCTCATTTAGAGAATCGATAGATATAACATGACCCTCCGGATCAATCTCTTAAGCCTCAACATTATTAAGGTCCAAAGAACAAAAAGCCAAAGCAAATGAACCTAAAGAAGAAAAAGAATATGGACCTGACTTCTTCCATTGCTTCACCTTCAAACCTCAGCAGGAGTCTTCGCCACGATAGAGAGAGCATGTAAGCCGCTCTTTAACTCCTCTTGCAACAAGTCATAAATCAGCCTATGCCTCTTGACCAAGCTTTTACCTTGGAAAGCATCCGAAACTATTCGCAAGTTGAAATGTGTTTCCCCATCATAACCAGCACTACCTCTAACAGCGGCATGTCCTGCGTGCTGGTAGGAAACATCATCAACTTTTAACTCAACAGGATTTAACTCCTTCTCCAGTGTCTCTCTTATCCTCACCCCTCTACTCCCTAAAGCAATAGCATCTGACCCACTGACAGAATCTTCAATCTCTTGTGTTCCTAAATCCTCAACTAAACTAGGCTGGGACTCCGTATCCTTGTCAACAACACTTGCTCCACCGTTTGTTTCAGGTGTAGGTACGAAGCTGAATTCTGAACTCTCTCCAGAACTTGAATCCTCCTCACCTTTGACTTCCAAAAGAAGAGCTTTTTTCTGCATCAACTTAAGCATATTAAGGAATCCATTGTTTCTAGAAGGAGACAGACTCTGCTGCAAACCGAGAAGAACAGCGAAATCAGGTGTAAGCCTCAAAATCTCAGGCACAGGTCTTCCAGATAAACCCTGGACTAAAAGAGCAGCTAACCCTTTAGTGAGAAGGGAATCAGAATCAGCTTCATAGACAACGTTGCGTTGCTCATCGAAGAAAGCCCTAACCCAAACCTGGGAAACGCATCCTTCAACTTTATTCTCCCTCGTCTTGAATTGAGAATCGAGAGGTTTAAGATTCTTCCCGTAGAAAAGAAGCTGCTCGTATTTAGCCTTGGGCAATTGTACCGATTGGAATAGCTTGACGATCTCTTGTAGCTTCGGAGGAAGCTCTTCCAAGTTTCCAGAATCCGACGGAGATGATGAAGATGCAGCTGATGGTGGAGGAACGGTTCTGGTTGAAATTTTCTGGAACGTGACGATCGTCCGACGAAACGAAGGGAGTTCCGACGGTTTTAGCGGTCGCTTAATCAGGGACTTGGCCGGAAATTGAACAGAACAAAAAAAGGTTTGTTTGATGGGGACAAGACGAAGCGAAGAAGCGCAACAAGTAGAAGACATCGCTGCAGCCATAAGTCGAACTTGAAACTTGGAGAGAGCGAGAGAGACGGAGATGGAAACAGAGTCGCGAATATTCCCAAATCAACTAACCACAGTCCCCTCTTCCACTTCTTTTTTTCTTTCTGGGTCAATTGAGTTGTTTAACCATGTAATTCGGATTTCAGATATTAAACCGGGAATGTACCGGAGTTGGTGCTGACTCAGATCTAAATCACTTTGTAGGGTTGATTTTGAACAATTATAAAAGTATACGACTCTTTTTCACACAAAGGAAAAAAAAATAAAAGATATCTAGATTTTTATTTATTTTATACCTAATATAATAATAATATGCAAGCTTCGTCTTCGTAATATAAGTTCATCGTTCTCTCGCGTTCGTCAGCTCAAACACGCTCCGCCAATTAAATATATATCAAATCAATCATGTCCGAATCCAGCTTTTCCCAATGTAAGCTAATTTAATAATGTTAATTAAAGTCTGTCCCTTTCTTCTCTAAGATTCTATTGTTTCTACTTCCAGAGATAAACTGCATCTCCTTTTTTTGCTTCTTTTATTTGAAGATTTCCTGAGATCCTCCTCTTCAGACCCAAGCTGAATCTGGGTAACTTTCGAATCTCATTATGCTTTTGTTTCTCTTTTGAACGATCTGTTTCTATGTTATGTGTAAACACCTCGAGATGCTCAATCATTTTGCGTTTCTGGTTCCAAGTTTTGGTTTTTCTTCAGTGGATAACTCGAGGCCTGAGGGTTTAGCTTCTTCTTTTTTTCTTTTCGGATTGTTCTTGCATTTTGTTGATCTATGGAAATAGAAATTGAATTCACATTGCTAATCCAGCTTCTTCATCAGTTCTGGTTGCAGCTGTAAAATTTCACTCTTTTTGTTCTCTCTTTTGTTGGATAGTATGGGCTTGTATTCACATTGTAATAAGAACAGTGAATTTGGATTTTTACATGTTAAATTGCATATTTGCTATTGGTAGCAGCAATAAGCATACCAACATTGCTGCTTTGCTTAGCCATTAGTGTGATAAGAGATTAAGACTTTTGATATAGCTTTCACCTATGTTCAATGTCCAGAATTGTCTTCGGGATGGGTTCCAAGTCTGTTGTTGACATGATAGAAGCCGCCTCAGGTGTTCATTTTTCTGGTTTCCACGTAAATGGGCACATGAATGGGTTGGAACCTACAGCACTTAAGGATACCACTTCTGCATCAGATGATATCCAAAGACAGCCTTTTGTTATAGGTCACTTCTACTTTTCACAATGCTGTAATTTTTTTTGCTGAGTATACCAGTCGTGGATGAAGAAAATCTTGACGGACTGTGACTTGCGTTTTAATGGTTAGGTGTTGCTGGAGGCGCAGCATCGGGAAAGACTACTGTTTGTGATATGATAATCCAGCAACTGCATGATCAGCGTGTTGTACTTATTAACCTGGTAATTTTGTTTTGTTATGCTGAATTTTCTTAATGCAAAGTGATATCCATCGGTCTTATCTGTGTTTTGAATTTATATGATGTCTATTGAATCCCACACAATTTATAGATCTAAAAGGAGAATATTACCTTCTAAAAAAACAACGTGTATATGACTGAAGTTTAACATGGTTCAACCTTGTGACCATCTGTTCAGTGCATGTAACCAATCAAAAATTGCTCTGACTAAATATCTGATGATAAATACTTTGGCAGGACTCGTTCTATCATAATCTGACTGAAGAAGAACTTGCTAAAGTTCATGAATATAACTTTGACCATCCAGGTGAGAATACATTTGGGTTGTCACTGCATGCTGTAATCTACTCTTGTCACTGCATGCTGTAATCTCCTCCGTAAACTATTTTATCTTGGATTCTAATGAATTATTAATGTTTCTGTAGACGCATTTGACACAGAGCATTTGTTGTCTTGTATGGAGAAATTGAGGCAAGGGCAAGCTGTAGATATTCCAAAATATGATTTCAAAACTTACAGGAGCAGTGTTTTCAGAAGGGTACCATCTTCCCTCTCATAATCATATTGTTCATTGATGCTTATGACCTTGAGACGCCTTTTTCATTGATTTTATTATGTAATAAATATCTTAGATGTCATCACTTGCTTTAATCTGGTTCGAAATCTAGCAGGACATATATATTTTCTTATCTTATGCTCTCATTTTGAACAACATTGTGCAGGTAAATCCTACGGATGTAATCATCCTTGAAGGGATACTTCTATTCCATGATCCACGTGTCAGAAAATTGATGAACATGAAGATTTTTGTATGCACAGGTAAATTACCTCTTCTCCATCACAATTACTGTAAACTCTTGTTTCTACAACACCCCATTCCCCTTTTTATAGATTCACCTGGCTTTTTCCTGCTAGTAACATTTCACATGAAGGAACAATTTCTTACTTTTAAAAGAAATGTTCTAAATTTGTTAGGTTAGCAACTCAGCTGGTTCACTTTGCATTTTTTTCTGCGTAGATGCTGACGTTCGTTTGGCAAGAAGGATAAAAAGAGATACTGTCCAGAATGGTAGGGATATCGGCGCAGTACTTGACCAGGTTAGCTTTTGTTAGTATTGTTACTGCATATATTATTTTCAAGAACAACAAGAAATGGATTACCACTTGCATTAGATTATATTATTGCTCTGATCCGTATGTGTTTCACCCCTAGAATTTTGAAAATTTCAGATGTATATGTTTTCTGCCCATATCTTATATGATGTCAACCCTTTGATGCAGTATTCAAAGTTTGTGAAGCCTGCTTTTGATGACTTCATTCTCCCAACGAAGAAATATGCAGATATTATAATCCCCCGTGGTGGGGATAATCACGTAGCTATTGACTTAATTGTGCAACATATTTGCACTAAGCTGGGTCAACATGATCTCTGTAAAATATATCCTAATCTCTATGTTATACACTCGACATTTCAGGTATCTCATCTAACTAGTAACATTCTTTTAACTACCAAACAAGACTTTTGTTTGCCACTAAAAAATTGTTTTTTCTTGCAGATAAGAGGGATGCACACCCTTATACGAGATTCTCAGACAACCAAACATGATTTTGTCTTCTATTCTGATCGATTGATTCGACTGGTAGGACTAGTAAAGCTCATTCAAATGGTTGAGCAAATTTTCTGTCACGTCTCATTTGGGTTAGTTGATTTTTTTCTTTACATTGATCAGGTTGTAGAACATGGTCTTGGACATCTGCCTTTTACTGAAAAGCAAGTTATTACTCCTACCGGTAAGCTTAATGATTTAAATTTTTGCAATGTTGTTCGTGAATCACAAGATTATTATGTATAGATGTAGTGGTTAAACGCGATGACTAATAAATCATAGATAACTCGGTTACCTGTCTCAGGGTGTGTATATTCTGGTGTGGATTTCTGTAAACGGTTATGTGGTGTCTCTGTGATTAGGAGGTACTTTCCTATTTACTAGCTTTAGTTTATTCAAGAGAAATTTCCACATTCATGCATATTCCACTGTCTCACCAACGTGATGGTTTTGGAACTAATGCTAGTGGCGAGAGCATGGAGAATGCATTGCGAGCATGTTGCAAAGGTATCAAGATTGGGAAGATCCTAATCCACAGAGAAGGCGACAATGGTCAACAGGTAAATGATTCACCCCAATTGAAGTCTAGTTGTTCTATTTTTTCACTGTTTGATGTCAGAATCACTTTGCAGCTTGTCTATGAGAAATTGCCAAATGATATCTCGGAGAGGCACGTCCTATTGTTGGATCCTATTCTCGGTACAGGTAATTAAACCGTAGACTTCTTCAACAATTTTACAAAAAAAAAAAAACACTTTAATTCCTTGAAGTGCTTATTGACACTGAAATTGAACATATTTTCAGGAAACTCAGCGGTTCAAGCTATCAAGCTCCTTATCAGCAAGGGTGTACCCGAGGGAAACATCATATTTCTAAACCTTATCTCTGTAAGCTAACGCAGATCCTTTTCATATCACTAACACCCCTCTTGATTACAAACTATTATCCACAAGAATGCTGCTGGACTGAGATTTTTTATATCTGTGTTCAATCAGGCACCTCAAGGTGTTCATGTGGTCTGCCAAAAATTTCCGAGAATAAAGATAGTGACATCTGAAATCGAAAATGGGTTAAATGAAGAGTTTCGTGTTATTCCTGGTATGGGCGAGTTTGGGGACAGATATTTTGGCACAGACGATGACTAGACCATTGTAGTCTTGCCGCATTAGTTTGTCCCTGCCATGTCCTGATGTATTCACCATCCTATCCACTACAACGGCTACACAAACTATCAAAGGAATCACCTTTAACTGTGTTGGTTTTCCCATTAAAACCCTCTCAAGTTCTTGGGAACAGTTTTGATTTACTTATAAATTCCCACATGAGGGGTTGATCGAACCTGGGACTTGGGATTTGTTGTACCATATATAGCTATCCTTGGAACTCTTGATACTCTATCTGCAAATCTTTTGTACCATATATAAATATTATTGGAACTGTTGAACTCCATAAGCATAGTACATCATTTGGCTTCTACATCCAAAAAAATATCTCTTGTTTGTGTTTGTAAGTTTGGATGCACACACGTGAAATGTGTGTAGGGAATGGACTATACAGAACACTGTTTTTGTTCTGTACCCATCTCTTTCTCCTCTCCACATGTCCATGTTATTGGGGATTTGATAGTGTAAAAGCAATCACTCATTTTCTCCTCTCCACATCTCTCGCACTCAATAAGCTACCATGTCTGCTTTTGTCGGCAAATACGCAGGTACGTTTAACAACTCTTCATGTTCCAATAACTTCAGCTTCTCATATCTATGTGCTTTCTGAGTTCAGATGAGCTGATCAAGACGGCCAAGTACATTGCAACACCGGGAAAAGGCATTTTGGCCGCAGACGAGAGCACAGAAACCATTGGGAAACGATTCGCCAACATCAATGTTGAGAACAGTGAGTCCAACCGGCAAGCTTACCGCCAGCTCCTCTTCACTTCCCCTGGCAGTTACCCTTGCCTCTCTGGTGTTATACTATTTGAGGAAACCCTCTATCAGAAAACCTCTGATGGCAAACCCTTCGTGGATCTCCTCATGGTCCGTCCTAGGAAAAGATAACTCCAGCTCTAGTCTTTAATCATTGGGTTCAAGAGTAGCTGATTTGAAGCTCTTGACGTTACTCAAATACAACTTTCGGTTTCAGTTTGGATTTTTTCGTTGAATCAGGAGAACGGTGTGATCCCTGGAATCAAAGTGGACAAGGGTTTGGTTGATCTAGCAGGGACCAACGGCGAGACCACTGCTCAGGGTCTAGACTCGCTTGGTGCACGTTGCCAGGAGTATTACAAGGCAGGAGCCCGGTTTGCTAAATGGCGTGCATTCTTCAACATTGGGGCCACCGAGCCAAGCGAGCTCTCTTTCCAAGAGAACGTCAAGGGGCTAGCCCGCTATGCCATCATCTGCCAGGAGAATGGACTTGTCCCGATCGTCGAGCCAGAAGTGCTGACCCGTGGGAGCCACGACATCAAGAAATGTGCGGCGGTGACCGAGATGGTTCTTGCTGCCGTGTTCAAGGCCTTGAACGACCATCATGTCCTCCTCGAAGGCATCCTGCTTAAACCTAACATGGTCACCCCCGGCTTCGACAGCCCAAAGGTATTGAAACTGAAATAATAGTCAAACCAAAGTTTGGTTTAGAGCGGTTTGATTGAGTTTTTTAAAGATTTGCATGCCCGCTCTTTTGGGAACCACAATCAAATGAATCACAAAGACATATATACTTCGAAATGCAACGTTAATTTGCTACAAAACGCTTAAATTGTACTTCTAACAGCTTGCACCAGAAGTAATCGCGGAATACACGGTGACTGCTCTGCGCCGCACAGTCCGACCAGCTGTTCCGGGAATCGTGTTCCTCTCAGGCGTGCAGCGCGAAGAGCAAGCGACACTAAATCTAAACGCAATGAACAAGCTTGATGTGTTGAAGCCATGGACGCTCACTTTTTCTTTCGGCGGAGCTCTCCAGCAAAGCGCTCTCAAGACTTGGGCCGGTAAGACCGAAAACGTAGCCAAAGCTCAGGCCAAGTTCCTGATTAGGTGCAAGGCTAACTCGGACGCTACCCTCGGGAAATACACCGGTACTTCTGGTGACTCCGCCACCTCTGAGTCGTTGGATCCGATCATAGGATACAGGTACTAGGATCGTTTGAGAACGGGTGTTCGCTTTTGATGTGGTTTTGAGTATTATATGTCAAATGTTTCGTGGGAGTTTAACTATTTAAATGTTCAATTTGCAAACTAATAGTAATCATTGTTTTATATCCATTTACTGTCAAACTCTAGATGTTAGTTAATCCGGCAGAGTTGATTAAATAACATTATAAAAGATTTTGATTTAGCCAACCAGAAAAGTAAAACTGGTAAAGGAAAAAATGTATTTCATTGTATGGGACTGGTCTTAGAAAAGTCCAAAATTTGTTATGAGTATAGGCCTAATTCTAGGTTGGGCTAACTTGAGCTTAACAATATATATATTTTGTAAGTTGAGTTTACTCTGTGGACTTGTATTGTAGTAGTATAATAAGATTAGATTAGAAAGTATAAATTTGTGAGTTGAGAGTAAATTCGTTATATAGTTCAAGCCTTCAATGTAATTTGAGCACCAATGGGTTCAATAAAAAGATTACAAAACATTTTTAAAAAAACTTCTATCATATATAAGCATTTCAAGAGATTGACTTGAAAGTTGAAACAAAATAACCAGTTTCGTTAAAAAATACTGGAATTGATGGTTAAACTTGGACGAACAGTGAGTAAGGATTTTGCAAGTAAACATTATCTCTGTAAGGAGTAAGCTAACACACCTCCTTTTCATATCACTTAACACCTCTTGTGATTACTCATCCATGTTTATCCACAAGAATGCAGCTAGAATGAGAATTTTTTTTTTTGCCAAAATGACCCAAGAATAGAGATAGTGACATCTAAAATCGAAAATGGATTAAATGAAGAGTTTTGTGTTATTCCTGGCATAGGTGACTTTGGGACAGATATTTTGGAACAGATGAGGACTAGATAGATCACTGTATGTGGTCCTGCAGCATTAGGTTGTGCCTTCCATGTCCTGCAGTGCAGTTTATTGATGTATTCACCATCCTATCCACTACAACGGCTATACAAACTATCAAAAGAATCACCCTTTACATCTGTTGGTTTAAACCCTCTCATCAAGTTCTGGAGAACAGTTTAGATTTACTTATAAATGCCCAAATGAGGGGTTGATCAAACCCGGGACTTGGGATTTGGTACACCATATATAGATATCATTGGAACTCTTGATACTACTTCATAAGCTTTGATATCCAAAGAAAAATATCTCTTTTGTTTCTGTTAATAAGTTTGGATGCACACACGTGTGGTTGAAGTGTGAGAGAGGTAGTATACAAAACACTCTGCTTTTGTTTTGTACCTATCTCTTTCTCTTCTCCACATATCCAAGACCTTTGGGGATAAAGCTGGTATCACTGGCTGGCATTTGGTAGTGTCGAAACAATCACTCATCTGCTTTATCCGAGGTTGATAATCTTCCTCGGGCTCTCCTTCCGACACGTAAGAATATTCTAACAGTATATTCCTCCCTCGATATTACCTATATTATACTGTCAAAAGTTGCAGGTACTTAAGGCTTTGTCTTGGCATCCTCGTCCTCTTCAGCAAGAACTCATCTCTCTTCCCCTTAAAAAGCAACCATGTCTGCTTTTGTAGGCAAATACGCAGGTACGTACACGTAGCATGCACTCTTCTCGTTTAACAACTCCTCATGTTCCAGTTTCTTCATTTGATTTTTCTCTTATATTTGTTTTCTGAGTTCAGATGAGCTGATCAAGACAGCCAAATACATTGCAACACCGGGAAAGGGAATTTTGGCAGCAGACGAGAGCACAGGAACCATTGGGAAACGATTCGCCAGCATCAATGTTGAGAACATTGAGTCCAACCGCCAAGCTCTCCGTGAGCTCCTCTTCACTTCCCCTGGCACCGTTCCTTGCCTCTCTGGTGTTATCCTCTTCGAGGAAACCCTCTACCAGAAAACCTCTGATGGAAAACCCTTCGTCGATCTTCTCATGGTCCGTCCCAGAAAAATCAAACTCCATCTCTAGTCTTAATCATTGGGTTCATGAGTTGCTTGGTTGAAGCTCTTGACATGACTCCAAGCTCTTGAGTTGCTTGGAACTTACGGTTTCAATTTGGATCTTTTTTTTTTTTTGTATCAGGAGAACGGTGTTATCCCCGGAATTAAAGTGGACAAGGGTGTGGTTGATCTAGCAGGGACCAACGGCGAGACCACTACGCAGGGTCTAGACTCGCTTGGTGCGCGGTGCCAGGAGTATTACAAGGCAGGAGCCCGGTTTGCTAAATGGCGTGCAGTCCTCAAGATTGGGGCAACCGAGCCAAGCGAGCTCTCAATCCAAGAGAATGCCAAAGGGCTAGCCCGCTATGCCATCATCTGCCAGGAGAACGGCCTTGTCCCGATCGTCGAGCCAGAGGTGCTGACCGACGGGAGCCACGACATCAAGAAATGTGCCGCGGTGACTGAGACGGTTCTTGCTGCCGTGTACAAGGCCTTGAACGACCACCATGTCCTCCTTGAAGGCACCCTGCTTAAACCTAACATGGTCACTCCCGGCTCCGACAGTCCTAAGGTAAGGAAACAACGTGTTGGCAATCCGGTTTGGTTTTGTTTCAGTTATTTCCGATTTTTCGGTTATATATATTGTTCTTATTTACATCGAAACTGAAACCCAAAGTTTTGTTTTTTAATTTGTCTGGTTTAGATCGGTTTGATGCAACTCCTTACGGAACCACAATCAAACTAAAGTATACATATCATTAATGCACAGTACTACAAAATGCTAAAATTGTACTTCTCTAACAGGTTGCACCGGAAGTAATTGCTGAATACACAGTGACTGCTCTGCGCCGCACAGTCCCACCAGCTGTTCCAGGAATCGTGTTCCTCTCAGGCGGACAGAGCGAAGAGGAAGCGACACTAAATCTGAACGCGATGAACAAGCTCGACGTGTTGAAGCCATGGACGCTCACTTTCTCTTTTGGCCGAGCCCTCCAGCAAAGCACTCTCAAGGCTTGGGCCGGTAAGACCGAGAACGTAGGCAAAGCTCAGGCCACGTTCCTGACCAGGTGCAAGGCTAACTCGGACGCAACCCTCGGGAAATACACTGGTGGGGCTTCCGGTGACTCTGCCGCGTCCGAGAGCTTGTATGTGAAAGGATACAAGTACTAGGATCGTTTGAGAACGGACGACGTTCACCTTTAATACGGTTTGAGTATACGTCTAATGTTTTTAAATGTTTAATCGATTTGGTTTAGCATCTCTGTAATGCAGCAACAGTGTAATGTTTTGTGATGGTTTCTATAAATATTTTCGCGCCATGACTTTTAACGGTTTTGTCTCAAAAGTTCGGTAATATCCTCTCAGTGGGTCCTACAGTTGAAGTCTTATTTTCTTCTTAAGATTTATGTGACATTTTATAATTTATAGAATTTCCTAATACAGTTTGGTTAAAAGAAATTTTGTAAACTCAAATGTTTGTGAACATTATCTTAGGGATTACGGGGATGCTCTTAAAAGATATTAGACTTAAAAACATGGATTAGGGTTTGTGAACATTATCTTACAAGAACAAAATTGAAGGAACACGTATCCTTAAAAGGTTATCTGAATAACAACCATAAAATTAATGTTAATAATTAATCGTACAAAATAAATTTAAAAATGGTGTAACTGTGGCTGGAAAGCGCACATATGCTCATGTGATGAGGGTGGCTCAAGGGTCCACGTGATCCATCTACTCGCTTCTCTGTGTCTTTTTAAGCCTCTCTTCTTCAGTTCTTCTTCTTCTTCCTACTTTTGCATATCATTACATTTAACAAACAACCAAAACTACACAAAATAAATACGAATCTTTCTCGCCTGTGACTCCAAAATACTTCATTCCCTATCGGTCATTAATTCTTCTCCCTCTTAGATCCCTTTCTCAGTTTTACTTCACTGCATTTACTACTCATATATACAACTTGTTAATTTACAAAACTATAGATTTTTTTTTGAACAAAATTTACAAAACTATAGATTATACATAATGAGTTGTATGTTAATTACAATCACGTAATGGTAAAGCTCAAACTTGTTTCTCGAATTACTTTAGATTTAATTAAATTATAATCGAAATAGACAGATTCAGGATGGCTCTTAACTATAAATGGTATGTATTTCTCCTTCAGTTAACTTCTTTTTATAACTGATTACATAACTTGACAATTAAGATTACAGAGACAAATCATTACAATACATTGGAGTTCTAGTACCTTATAGTTTTTAGGGTGTGTTGGCAAACTAGTACATTTTTGAAACATAATTGTAAAGGTAGTACATTTACTATTCATAATTAGCAAAATAGTATAATTTTACTATTTCAGATATATGTACAGACAAACAACTGTACAGTAACATATTATTGTACATCAAATATTTGTACATAGAGAAACAACTACAAATAAACATATTTACACATAAACAAATATACATACATAGACCAGGAAATATCTGTACACATAAAATTATACGTGTATATAGACCGCTGTACGGATGATTTTCCGTACATCGACACACAACTGTACATAAGGATAGCTGGACGTATCAAAATTTGTTTGAAAAAAATTTGAAATTATTATAAAAAAAATGCATATCAAATTATAGAGAAAAAAATATAGATTTTTATGTAATTAAAATTTTATAGAAAACAAATATATTTTGATGAATATTTTAGTTATTAGATTTAAGGGGATTTTTAATAGTGTCTAAATAGTGTTTAAATAGTAAAAATGTATTAGTTTGCTAATAATGAATAGTGAATGTACTACTTCTACAATTATGTTTCAAAAATGTACTAAAAATCCAATTAATCCTAGTTTTTACCCTCCAGTTGTATTTATACCAAAAAAAAAAAAATTAAAGCTCCAACAAAAACATATTCACACAGCTTTTACAATAGCTCACAATTTTATCAATTACAAATTATTAATTTTCCTTTTGTTTGTTTCAAACAGAGTCGTCCGAAAACGCAAATGAACAGTTAGATGAACCGTGAGAAATGATGATCTTCTCATTCGACATCAATTGTTGTGGCTCTTTGCTTCCGCAACCATCACTTTTGAGCTTGCCAGACTCTGATCGTCCAACATTAGCCTGCCTTATCTCTGTGAGCATTGCCACAACATCTTTCATCAAAGGCCGTTCGTTTGCCTTGTTGCTCACACATAGGAACGCGACCGCAAGGCTTTGAAGCATCTCATGCATTGTCAAGTCCGTCCGTCCATTGAGTCTCGGGTCAAGAAGCCTGCTAGGATCTTTTTTCTCAGCCAAGTGATCTCTCACCCACTTAACCAAGTGTGCACCTCCTGGCAGATCAGGATCTAACGGATGCTTCCCGGTTAGAACCTCTAACAATACCACTCCGTAACTATAAACATCGCTCTGTTCGGTTATACATTGCATCGAAGCATGTTCTGTTAAACACAAACCACGAACACACATTAATACAATCAAAATTCCAAAATTAGATACGAGTTACATATATTAGTAACTTGCTCAAGCTTACCCGGAGCCATGTAACCATAGGAGCCAGCCAAGGGAGGCCGGTTGGCGGGTTTTGATAAATCAATTCCGGAGACGGTTCTAGCTAAACCGAAATCAGCTAAGTAGGGTTCCAAGTGAGGACCCAATAAAACATTCATGGCTTTAACGTCACCATGTATAATTGCGGGGAGACAATCGTGATGGAGATAAGCAAGTGCATGGGCCACACCAAGAACGACGTCGTATCGAGCCTCCCAACCAACGTTTCCTCCTTTTCCGGCGCCGTGAAGCCGAGAGCTCAGGCTACCGTTAGGGAGATAATCGTAGAACAGGAGTTTCAGATTCCGATTCGAGCACCAACCAAGAAGACGAACTATGTTTCTGTGACGAATCGATCCTAGAGTTTTAATCTCTGAGTTAAACGCACCGCTCTCTTCCTTCGACCACATTTTCTTCACCGCCAGTGACTCGCCGGAGGGAATGCTTATACGGTAAACCACACCTGAGCTCCCGGTTCCGATGACGTTTGCCGACGTCAGATTCCTGACGATGTCGTCGATTGAAAAATCGAGTTTTTGGTAGAGCGTCACTTCCCACGAATCTATTTCTTCACCGAGGAGTTGTTTTCCGGCGACTCGTGCCCGAACTAGAGTGTAAACCGCCAGGAGAACAAGGACGGCGGTGACGACGATGAGGATCAAAATGGTTATTTGTACGGCGGAGCTGTTCCGGTTCGTCGGGTCGGACCGGGTTGAGATGGCGTTAGAGATGTAAAGCCCTTTGTTGGAAGCGAGATCAGAGAGTGGGAGTTTCCGAAAAAAGGGAGTATTGGGTAAGTCGCCGGAGAAATCGTTGAAGGAGAGGTTGAGAGAGACTAGGTTCTGTAAATCCGTTAAGACGATTAGGTTCCCGGTGAGTCGGTTGTGAGAGACGTCAAGTACTCCGAGGCTTTTCAAGTCGGAGAATCTCGACGGGATTGCTCCGACGAACTCATTGCAGCTGAGATTGAGAGAGATTGCTAGAGACGGGATTTGACCTAATTCGTTTGGGATTTCACCGGAGAATGCATTTTCGCCGAGATTGAGAAGCTGTAGACTCCGGCAGGTGGAGATTTCTCTAGGGATTACGCCGGAGAATCGATTCTTGGCGAGATTGAGCTTCGTAAGCTCTGTTAACAATCCTATTCCCGGAGGCAGAGGACCAGACAGAGCATTATCGGAGAAGTCTATTAACTTCAAGCTTTTAGGAAGTGTACCAAGCAATGAACCGGAGAGACTGTTTGAGTGAAGATCAAGAAACTCGAGGCTTTCGCAACCAGAGATCGCCGGAGGAATTGTTCCGACGAGACGGTTCTCGCTTATGTCAACAAAGTTGAGATTTTTCAGGTTTCCGATTTCCGTCGGGATACTTCCGGCAAGTCTGTTTCCGTTGAGTCTCAGCCGGTAAAGATTGGTACAGTTTCCGACATCCGGAGGTATGAAACCAGACAAGTCGTTGGAGAGAAGAAGAAGCTTCGTGAGGTTTCGTAACCCGAAGATCTCTTTTGGGATGGGACCAGAGAGACTGTTGTAAGAGAGATCGATTGCTTGAAGCTCAAGACACTGAGAGAGACTTTTCGGGATGTTTCCGGTTAACTTGTTTTGCCACCCGAAGAACATCGTTAAGCTTCTTAGGTTACTCATCAATGGAGGAATCTCGCCGGTGATGAGGTTATTGTCGATCTCCAAATGCGTAAGCTTTGTGCAATTCGTTAATTCCTCAGGGATTGTTCCAGAGATCTGGTTAACGCTCAGCTGAAGCTCTTGTAGATTCTCAAGTTTTCCGAAGCTTCTTGGGATGTTCCCGGTGAGGAGATTTTCTGAAAAGTCGATCAGCCAGAGTTCGGGACAGTTCCCAAGCTCGGTTGGAATTTTCCCAACGAGGTTGTTCTGCCACAAGAGTAGACTCTGCAGCTTCTTTAGTCCTCCTATGGTCGTAGGAATCGATCCGGAAATAGAATTCTGATACAAGTAGAGGTTCTGGAGCTCTGTACAGTTTCCAATCTCATCCGGAATCGGACCAGACAAGAGAGACGTATAAATTGCTATTGTCTGAACACGTTTCAGGTTTCCAATCGACGCCGGAAGTCTACCGGAGAGACTAGTCTCGGCGAGACCGAGCATTACAAGATTCTCGCAATTGCCTATCTCCCAAGGAAGCTCACCTCTTAGATTCTTGTTCCCACCGGCACGAAAGACTTGTAGATTCTTGAGTTCTCCTATACTCCTCGGGATCTCTCCGGATAGCTTGTTGTCGAAAAGCTTGAGCTCAACAAGCTGCGAAAGATTCCCAATCTCCGTCCCAATCCGACCTTCGAGATTGTTCGTGTTCAGCGACAGTGTCTTGAGTTTCTTGAGACTGAAGATTTCCACGGGGATATCGCCGGAGAGAGAATTATCCGATAAGTCCAGTAATTCAAGCTCCGTGAACTCTCCGATCTCCTTGGGGATTACCCCGGTGAGATTAAGTGAAGATAAAGTGAGTGAAGTAAGAGACTTGAGGCTGCGGAGACTCGTCACCGACGGAGAAACTTGCAAGTCCATGCCTTTGAGTTGTATCTCGGAAACTTCTCCACCACGGTTACAAGTTACGCCGACCCAATTGCAGGGAGATGTGTCGGCGACGTTCCAGGAGGAAAGAGCGTCGCCGGAGATGTTCAATTGTGACTTCCATGACAAGAGAGCATGACCTTGTTCGTCGAGAGAGAAACAGGGGATGAAGAAGAAACAGAGTAGGGATGAGAAGAAGGACAGCCTATAGATATTTGGTGGCATCGGAGAAGACGAAGAAGAATGAGAGAAGTGCGTTGGGATTGTGTAAAGCGAAGAAACCAATCCATCGAGTTTGGTTTTATTTTGTTTTTAGGAAATATATAAATAAACACAGAGCATAGACAAGAGACAGAGAAGTAGCAAAGGAAGCTTTTTTTTTTCTTTTTTTTTCCCAAAAAGTAGTTCCATCACTAACCCTTTACTAGTATTATTTTTGTATTTTCTTTCTGATTTCTGTAAATTGAAATAATATTTCTTTTATCACGATAAAGAACATCTATAGAGGCATAATTTATTTTAGTACTAAAAATTCCTCATAGAATTGAAATGTTACTCTAAAAGATTTGAAATGTTACTCTAAAAAACACTCAATAGTTGTAACAATGCAAAATAAATTTGTTTAGAATTTAGAAACTAAGATTATATAAATTCTATCTAGTAATTAAAAAGCCTTCAATTAAATAAAGCAAATATAGTACTAAGTTACAAAGTAGTTAAGTCTAAGAACAGGCTGAATATCAAGTTTTTGAACATGATCCACTACTCAACTTTGGAATGGACAAAACCAAAAACATAGTTTTTTCAAGGAGTTGAACTAACTTATATAGCTCAAAACTTTTCCTTTTTATAGTAAAAAAACGTTTATGGCCGACTGCCAAAATTTTTGCAAGAAAGTAACTAAAATATCAACAGTCTGCAACAAAAAGAGAACGTAATATAGAATGTTATTCACACAAAAAAAAAAAAAACAAAAAAACAAATACAAGGTATAGTTTATACTATTAAAATCGAGAATGCCATGGCAACAACTTTCATGGTTTTGAGACCGACATGTCAAACAAACCATCTTTTCTGTTGCCATATTTAAATTGCCTTTTACGATATTTTCATGAGCCAATTTGTCGAAGTTTCACTCAAATTCATTAACTAGAGAGCATCGTACCATATGATCTTATAACGTGTGAAGGAGAAGTGTTGTCCGCTCTGATAACAGGTACGTATAACTTCGCATGCACACATAAACTAGTGTTATACAGCACGATCGAGCCATGAACGTTTTAGTTAATTTATCGAGTTGCGTTAAAAAAATGAAAATAGTACTCCACAATGTTCACCATGCTCATGCATGAAGAGGAAACAAAACTTGTGGATCTTTAAGTAGCGGCACGATGAACTTCAATGCGTCTTTATGGTTTTAATAATGTGATAAAGTGTTCAACAAATTCTAAACACATTAAACGCACCGAACATGTTAACCAATTAAATCCACGACAAAAAGGTACTAAGGTGTGTTTTAGTAAGTTACATACATAGGAAGGGTTTCTCATATATAGTAAGAATTGAAGTATCCATATATAGATTTATCAATTAAAGCACCCATTAACGTCAAATATTATATTTGCATGTATAACAAGTAACAAGGAATTTGACTGTTTTTATTTTGGGAGAAATCAGAAGTGGGTAAATAGTGGCTAAACTAAATTTATCTTTGATTACAAAAGATAGAAGAAAGAATACAGATCATCTACTTTGGGTCGTCTTTGATATAAAAACTAGTAAATAAGTCGAAGTAAAACATGGAATCTTGGGGAGTGAAATTGCACATGCAAGCTAGGAATTTTTGTGACTGATTACATTAAAATTATTAATTTTTACAACCATGTCACTTGCTCATCTTGTCGGTCTTTAATTTTGAGGATTATTATATTTTTTTAAAAAATATCGTAATCTAATTAAAAAAATGATCTATATATACGAAACAGACTTGAAAAAGAAATGAGATTAGGACAGAATAATAATAATAGAATGGAAATGAATTTTATATTTAGGGTAACGGGTCAAGCAATAATATAAAGGTCGAACACGGCACTTAAGGCACATGACATAGAGTATAGAGAGGTCATGTGCATGTATAGATTAATTAAAAATAAAAAGTCATTTGCATATATATATATATATATATAGTTTTATATAACTAGATTTACAGCAGTTTGAAGATTTTAGTAATTTGGGGTTACTAGATTGCCTTAGCAAATTTACTTGGAATTGGTTATACATCAATTTTTTCAAAGCTAGCAGCCGTATGCATCGTCGGTCCATAAAGTACTAAAATCTATAGAAGTCGTTGTTTACGTTATGTGTGAAGATGAAATGATAAACTGATGTATAATAAGAAGACAGCAAAGAATATGATAAAGAGAGAAATGAATGGTAATGGTCCTCTCCTCTCGATGGGACGAGAAATGAAAAAGAGGAAAAATACGAAAAGAACAAAAACCAACAAACAAGAAGGAAGTAAAGAGAACAAAAGGTGTGGAAAGGAAAAGACAAGCGAAGCCCAACTGTACTTTGTGCCAAAACCAGTGTAACATTTCTTTCACAAATCTTATGATTATATATCGGTTTATTATAAATGGTCCCTGCGTTTTGCTGTTTGTGACAAGACCTCTTCCATCCAAAACGTTATTCCCTAAACTATCCACACCATTAATCATTTAGATAACTACCAACTCCTTTATGATTACATTGGCCAACATTTGCGACTAGCTACTACTATTGTGAAAGTGTACGTTATACATTTAAAGTAACAGTGGTTGAGTACTATATGCATGAAAGGTTAATCTACATCCATGGGTGGGTTTAGGGTTTAAAAGATGAAATCATTGTTATAACGTATGAAAATCTGATGAGGAGACTAATTAATAGCGTAAAATAACGAAGAAAAGCTTACAATTTACGAAGACAAAGTAACAAGATCTAGATCTAATCAAGATTTCATGAATTAGGTCAGAGATCTCATCACATGAGAGAGAGAGAGAGAAACAAATAGAGATACATAAAAGAGCATTAAGCTTTGTTAAGTGGCTTGATCTGCTCTAAGTAAGTAAAGAATTATTATAAAAGAGTGTTGGATCTAATCTATAGAATATATGTGAGATTATGGGCTAATTATTATTTCTGTATTAGAAGGTTTTGTCAGTATGACCTTACAATCCGATTTAACTTGGTTTTATCTATATTTAAAAGATGGTCCCTTGTGGGGGTAATGCAGCGGCAGAAGCAGTCCAAGAATGTAGTGGCAGTAGTGCATAAGTGTGAACAGAAGTGGGCATTTCATCCAAAAACTAATTAAACATAAGTGGCCATTTCATCCAAATACTATCTATATGTAATATGTGTGTTTATATCTCATGATCCAACGAATGTGTTATCAAAATTTGTAGTGTGAATATTGTATAGACTATAGAGGATATTTTACCTTTGCTTTTGCTTGATGTTTCTGCCATTTTCTTTTCCCTCCTAGGCCATCTTTTTAAAACTAGATTTAATATATTGAATATGATAATTATATGCCTTCTGCAATGATTAAAAGACGACATTTACAAATATATTTCTTTGAGTGTTTTAGTAAATTTTTCATCTTTGTTTTTTCATCTTTCCGCTTGAATTACTCCTTTTTTTTGTTCTTTTACTTTTAGATTTTTGCCTAACCATTGAAAAATTCAATTAAGACATCAGCCTTTTATATATAGCTTTATGTTGTACGACCCCGGAATTCGAGATAAGAGAAAGATAAAAAGCATACATAGTATATAATTTTGAACTGATAAAAAAAGGTTAAAAACAAATGATCTCATGATCATGTCTTTTAATCTACTTAACATTGCTTAGTGGAGAAGATGGGCGTTTGCTTTCAACTAATCTTTCTCTCGCTCGCTCAATAGCTTTTAGTTTAATCAAATTAAAGAGTCATTGATGTTATACTTAATACTTATCAAAATATATATATATATATATTTTTAAAGAGAGACAAATACGTGTAGTGTGAGGTGTACGTAAGAGGTCAAATGTTCCTGCTCCATTGTTTCCGTATTTTCAGGAATTGGGTTTCCCGCTCACAAAGCATCATATATTTTAATTTTCTTACCACTATCGTACCAACACCAAGACAAACACAAAGCATAACACTTCCAATATCCATTTTCAAGTGGAAGAAGCCTCTTTCGTATGCTTACCCGATCGAGATCGTCAGCATGATATATTTACATACATAGAAAGCTTTTTGTTTGTGGTTCATTGTCATTTAGAGTACACATTGTGGAATTCTATATTTCATTTGCTTTTCATTTTCACAATGCAATGTCTAATTGTTCCAACAGCTTCTAGAGTTTCGATTCAGATTGTCACATATTATAGTAGTAGCCAACACATTTTGGAAACTAATCAGTCATCACCACTATCCTGCTTGAGATTTGGGAAACTGGCTTAGCCATTTTCTTTGTTTTATGTGTATTGTACAATGGATTTATTCGTTTTTGTTTGGGAAATCAACTGTAACTATTAAAAAAAAAAGAGATAAGAAGATAGTGATAATAACCATCACTTGGGTTTTCATTCAACATCTTCAAAATCTTTTGTCTTTTTTTTTTAAATATTTACATCAAACCTATGTTTAAGAGTATACGAAAAAAAGCTCTCACATCTTTCTTTGTACACCAACAAAAGTAAAGTATTGTTCTTTCTCACAAACTGGCCGTGAAATTCTTATCTCCCGGACACTCTTAGCACAGAAGAGGTGAGAGTAGAACTGAGGAACCTCATGCCGGATGATCCACCAGGGAAGTAGGATATACAATAGTAAATCAGAGCAAGAACCTGTCCATTAACACAGAGAAATAGATTTTGGAAATTATGAGATTCAGCAGAAATGCAGAATGCACAGATTTAAGTTTTTTCAGCCTATACAAGTATCTTTTAAAGTAAATAGATAATGGCTGAAGAACCAGATAACCATTGCCACTTGTTAAAGAGTCTAATTTTCTGTGGAGGTTTCAAAAGGTTCCATCACAAGACCGATTTATCAACGAGGGGAGTTACGTTACTATATGATCTTAATAACTTTGATGAGGTCCAATTTTGGTTTCAACTTGTTCATAGGAATATCTCAGTTTGAAAAACTCCAACTCAGACAAAAAGAGAATATCGTTACGGCCAGAAGATGAAATGAATAGTACCTGTAATACAGAGAAGAGCACCGAGAGAATGTAGCTGTGGAGAATCATGGATACGTATATGGTACCAACCATGGTGGCAATGAATCCTAGGGTTGAAGGAAGCCTCTGGAAAAGTAGACAAGATATTAAAAAGAAAGGAAGGAATTCACTCTCGGGGATAAGGCATGACACAGTACATAATAGTGTAGAATACCTCCATCGATGACATGTGTGCAAGCTGGTTTTTTGGGCCACGAAGTGCGAAGAAGGATCCAATGATAAATCCACATCCAAGGGTGAAACAAATGGCAAATTTCTGTGGCATAAGCACCATGACTGGGAGAAACATTGTGAAGGCAATGAAGATGAAGAATACACCGCTTGCGAGAAATAAACCGAAATACATTAGCGCTTTTCCTGACGGCATACTGCTGGTTGCTGACTGCAGGCTCCCCGGGATATCTCTAACTCCCTTTGAAACCCTGGAGTCATCAATTCAAATTCAGGGACATTGCGAAATCAACAAAAGAACAAGAATTTCATAAGTGAAACAATGGAAGATTCCTGATAGCAAAACACAAGATGCACAGACCTGTAAAATCTGCACTAAATATTTTACCAGATAATATTCTGATTGGAGTACACACGTTTCCAAAACTGACATAAGGTTCACAGATCCAGCAAAGTCCATAATGCAAGCTCAACAAAACACAGCTAAACTACATCAAGCAAACACATCAACCTAAAGGCCTAAGCCTATAAGGAGAAATAAAGATCCTGGTATTGACAGAAAAAGAAAACTCACAACTACAACCAAATTGCTTTGAAGCGAGGGACTGATGTCCACGTACTCGGATATAAGTGACTCAATTGACTAACTATAAATGCATTGGTATGCAAAACTCATAAACGCATCTCCCAAGTTATCTTAGATGTCTCCACAATCAACCAAGTTAAAATTTCATTTGCTCAGATTCACTAACACCTCACTTGTCACACTACCACCTAAATTCCCAATTTTCTTAGAATCGGTCACCAAGTAAGCACCCTCAAGTGACCAATTGCATTCGACAATCCCAAAACTGGGAAAGAGATCGATGGTGACTTACACACTGAAGGTGCCCGAAACAGTGTCATTGGCAGATCTAACGGCGGATTCGATATCAAAGCCGAAGCTTCCGCCACTTTCTTCGAAATCTCTGGAGGCAGCGTATGAATTCCAATCAGCGAGCAGAGACGAACCCGATTCCTGCTTCTGATCTCCGCTGCTACTCCCGCTCATCGAAAACCATCCTTGTGACATTTTCTCCAACTTGGTTTTACACGTTTCAAAGGAACAAACAGTGAAAGACCAGAACGCCGGCGATCGGAGATTTTCCCTGGACGTTAAAGGTTTCGGTAAACGCCGCAGCTAAAACGTCGATCGGCGTCGTTTCTTAGCTTTTAACTTACCTTTGTCATTGTTGACCAAAAAAAAAAAAAAACTTACCTTTGTCATTTTATAATTGCGGGTAAAATAAGTAATATTCCAAAAATACTAAACATCATTTACTTTGTCATACATAAACCTTTCCAAAAAAATTTGGATAATATTTTGAATGTATTGCAAAAGACATTTTAATAAATATTTTGTGGTATTTTTCAAGATGTCTAAATGATATTTAGAAGGTATACAGTTTTTAACTCGTAGGTAAATTCCCCATAGCATTAACCATGTAGTAGTTCAAAGCAGCTGGTGTTACAGATTTACAATAGAAAACAAACAATCACAGCCGAATATATCATAACATTGACCGGAAGAAAATTTTCATAATACTTTCAAGAGTTGGATTTCAAAGACCAAAGGCTCGTTTGCATGCGATAGAAGACTGCGCCGTGGTCCAAACTGCAATCCACAAACACACATGACAAATCGTTTTGAGACGTAACTTATATAGCAAGTTCGTCATGGAGTATGAAGTGCAAGATCCGAGTACATACCTCCTCGGGGATTGGTTTCAATGTCTCATTTATGTACCCTACTGACGGAGGTATCAGTGCTCTGCGCTTCCCTGGATCCGCAAAAGGCCGTTATGCGTGTCGTTAGAAACAGGAAATTCATCAAAACACCAGAATGTTGTTTGTTTATTTCATGTTTTTACCTCCGGCTTTCATGCCCACCAGGACTTCCTTCAAGCCCTCAATTACCTGTCGTGTCAAGCAGTTAGTTAGTATGGGCCATGATTGGATGGCTGTATGTAAAGCTGAGTGCAAAAGATGAATGTACATCGTTTCCATCAAGAATAAGTTTGACAGGAGAGCTTTCACCACTGAATTGGTCCACAGTGCTGAATCAAAAACCAATATGAGTTTAAGAGAATGGATCAACTATAAGTGAAAGAAACTATCAAGACATCTGAAGTTTACCATGGAAAGCTCACCTATGAACGAAATATCCATTTGCACGTCGACATACATAGTTTAGTTCGACCAGGTCACCTTCATGAGCCTCTGGTCCTTCCCCTTCGACAATCTCTAAGAAAAGAAGTTCCAAAAGTAAGAATTATAAAACTAAAAAACAGCAAGTCTTTGGATGTTTCAAAGTAATTTCTGTAATTGTTATCATCAGAAAGAACAACAGAGCCAACTCTTGACAAAAGCTAGTAGTCAAGTACCTTGAAACCTCACGCCACTTGGGAGCTTTAACGTCCTGGACTCTTCGATCACCAACCAAAAAGAAAAAGGAACAGATGAGGAACTAACTCAATGCAACAATCAAACTGGATACAAGGAGCTATCCAATCAGCCTCACAATCTTATTTGTAATGCAATGATCAAGCACATTAAACATGAAGCCACATTTCAATTGCAATTCATGGAGTAATTGAAATCATATCACAAATGAACACGATTATGATCTTCTACAGATTGTCCTCAATGAAGAAGCTAAAATGATCATTGACGATTAAATACATTCCCAGCAATCAAAAATCCAAATCAAAGAGAGACTAGCAGATAGCTTAGAGAAGCACCAAGAATAATTTTACCTGATGACTTGAGGTTCCTTCATTTCAGGAAGAGGCGCCGCTAAACCAGGAGAACCCAGAAGTGTCAAGACCGAACCAAACCCAGCGAGCTGCATAAGCATCCTTCTTGGTACATGTACTGCCGAAACCGAAGATAATCCAACACGAGCCATCCCAGAAACACCGTTCCTAATCCTAGATTTTCCCACGCTGCTAAACAGTAAAAAAAAGTCCAATCTCCAATCTCAAATCGACGGACGTAAAACAAAACGATTAACTCTCAAAATGTGATTACGAAGGCTGAGAAATCAAACCTAAAGGCGATAGATGAACCAGTGAAACGATGAGCAATCTCCATAGCCATAGCAATCGTCTTCTTTCATCATCTATGCTCTAGATAGTGGATAAGAGAAGAAGAGCGAGAGGCGTTACAATAGCGCGTGCATTAGGCTTTACATTCTTTACTTCTGCGGTAGCGCGTGAGGCTGTAAATTTTTATTTATGTTGTTAAAATAACATATTTCCTATTTTCAAGTTTTGGGGGAAGAAGGATCTAGAAACCTACAAGTTAGTCACTATATAAAACTTGTTCCTCCTTCGATAACGCAGCCTCGCTCTTTTCAAATCTGGTTTCGTTCGACCCCCCCTCTCTCTCTCTCTATCATCAGCTTTGGGGTTTTTGTTTTTTTGACTAGTCTGGTTTTTTCTCTTGGTCTCCTGAACTTGGTTTTATTACGACTTTTATCATGTCTCCAACGAACAAGATTTCTTGGAAATTCTACTAGTTTCTTCGTATCTATTTTGGTTCAGATAGCCGAACATACGGACTTCGACTGTATCCTGTCTCTCGATGAAACTGCCAAATAATATTTCAGGTAAACCATTAATAAATTTTCATTTGATTATGTATGTAAAGCATGTGAACATGAGATATGTGTTACAGATGATTTTCTCGGATCAAGTTTTTGAGATCATAGATGTACCGTCAAGTTTATCATCTTAAACACCTCATACAGAGCCTCTAGCTCGATTTCATCCGTATAGCATCCGGTGGATTTGGAAGAAGCTGAACTCCTTGTTGAATCCATGTCGATTTCAGAAAGACTTAGCGAAGAAGGAGAGCAACAAATTGAAGGGGAAAGGATCAAAAAAAGCGAGATTGTCAACTCTGTGATACACCTATTCAGACCTTTGAGAGAGGGAAACATATATAATAGCAAAGAGTAGTGTAGTTTACTGCTCAAGTAAACGTGTTTTTGCACTATTAGAGAGCAACTCACTTGAAAATAACCTTTGCTAATTACTTTGTCAACTCTAACCGAAAAGCCAACAGCCACCTAAAAGACTAACCAATCCGATTAGAGCTTTACCAAATCATTCATGTTGAGTTTCTCTCTCTCTTTTTCTCTATCAACAGTTTGCTCTTTCCATGGTTTTTTAAATTTAGTTTTGGCTAATAATAGAAATCATGTCTTAATACGTACATCTACAGATTCGAGGAGATAAAAGCATCAACAAAAACAAGGAGCAGAAAAAAAAAAATACAGATTTGTTTTCTTTTCATTTTTCACAGAAGTAACAACAAAATCTTGAAGATATTCAGAGAGAATGAAACAAATAAACATGATACATAATCAGAAAACAAACACAATTCCCAAATTGTCGCCTCTGCTAAATAAATATGCTATTGTTTTCCTCAGGTATCTTCCACCTGTGAGTGGAACACAAAGCTCGGAAATGTAGTTGTGATATCCCTGCACCCAATATGAGAGATTAATGTTATGTGATACAGAAAAACTGGAAGTTGCATTGCCTAAACCCCGGATTAGTCTTGGTTTTAGAAGCTTACTTGAGATATTGGAGAGTCATGTTCTTTAGAAGGGAAGGATGCCTGAGAACAAGGGTCCTCCACTCTTCCTTATCGATCCTCCCGTCGTGTTTTGTGTCAGCTTCCTCAAATGTCTGCCAAAGAAGAAACTCAGAAATCATTCTTTACTTTATTCGCAACTGTTATCTTGAGTTGGTTATACTACAGTAGAACAAAAAAATAGTATGAAGCAGGAAAATGAAGGAAGGAATCACACCTTGTCGATTATACTCTCTATGATTTCGTCTGACAGGTTCATGCCGGACTCAGCAAGAGTAGCCACCACCATTTGTTTCACCTCCTGCCTTTCGATGAAACCTTGCTGCTTAAGATCATATAGCTGAAACGAAACTGCAGAACAACGTTCCCGGTAACTACTAATGAACTTTCACGGATTATATGTAGTATGTGAACATCACATAATTTGTTATAGATGGTTTCTAGGATCAAATTCTAAAGATCAGAGACGTACAGTCAATCTTGTCTTCTATAGGAGCATTTGGATGAAAGACAGAGAGAGCCCGGGCAAATTCCTCAAACCCCAGTATTCCATTATGCTTTGTGTCGAATAAATCGAATACCTGTGGTTGCTAGTGTCAATATACTTTGAAAAAGGATCTTGGCAAATGGATCACGATGTCTTTGGATTAAGAAAGAAACATACCCGGTCAGCAAACAAGCTCTCTTTTTTATTTGTCTTGAACAAGGCTAACTGAAACTCTTCCTGAACCACAATTACAACAGGACACATCAAGGAAAATCAGAAAAGGCTGTCCAAAGGAAGCAGCAATATGCTTGATTCGTGGGGAGTATAAGTGAGTGGCATAATAGGCATATGGTTCCTTCATACCTTGTTTATTAGCCCATCGTCAATCACAGCACTGCTGATTTTCTTAAACAGCTCATAGAGAGCCTCTATCTCACTCACGCTAACTGCACCCAAACGATTCAGTGATCAATATCCAGATGTAAAATTTGCATTCCTCTTATCAACTAGAGAAATAGCATGCCTTCAAATCATATAAGTGAACAAAAAGAAGGGAACGGAAGCTGAAAGAAATTTGGAAAAGAAGCTGAGAGCATACAAACAGTCTCTCTGGCAAGCAGTTCAGGGTCTCCAAGGCCTCCAGATTGTTTGTAAATATCGATATCAAAACACCGGAAAAAAGAGGAGCATACATGCTTGAAACCGTCTATGCACTGCGACATGATACCTCTCGTAAATCAAAACTCCCCATGTCTGTTGAATAACAAAAAAAAAATGTAAGAACTTTCGAACAACCTGAAAGAAATTAAAAGACACACATGCATATGAACAAGATAAAGTACCTTTTAACCATTTCCTGGTTTGTCAAAAAGGCAATGCTTTGTACACCTTAAAAAAATCTGCAATGACAAGTAATTATTTTTTTGTAGTTCATGAAAACCAACAATATTTGCAAAACAGTCGAAGAAGATGTGACAGGAGCAAACAAGAATCATCATTTACAGATCTGAAGTAAGCAGAAAAGAGATGATCGTAGCTTTATGCATTAATCTTAAAGTCCAGATTAACCAATGTATTAAAACATCACAGTCATGAAACAAGTATAATAATTTAAGCATGAACACAAAACCCAAAATCTAAGAAACAGAATACATGAGCTAGGACAAAGTTGAGGAATCCCAAAATCAAGTCAGAAATGCCCTGATCATGAAGAACAGATGAAACTATTCCAAACAATCAGTGAGGATCGAAACCTGAATCTAGTCTTGAAATGAAAGACAGAAGTGATTAAACTTGGTAGAAACGACGCATATGAGAAGAAGAAGGAAAAAAAAGAAGCGATCCAGCGAGTTTTAAGATTCCAAATCGTTCGGATTCAGATACAACAGCTCTCTCTCTATATATATATATATCTCTCTTGTTATATAAAGTTGGTAATCAGCTCATGGATGATGGATCTATGAATCCCAGCGAATAACGAATTTTGATCAATTAGTTGCTTCATTTCTCAATCTCAAATTTTTAAATTTGTTATACCAATTGCGATTTTCCCGGAATACACACACACACACACACGAGATTTATTACGAGGGAGCCGACCGACCGGGACATCGTAGAAAAGGGAGAAAGAGAAGAAGGAAAAAAAGAAAGAAAGAAAGAATGAGCCTTACGCCACGGCGGATGAAGAGCCTTCCTTGCGGCGGCTCCGACGGTTGATGGTGACGGTAGTTGCGGTGGAAAACACGAAACAAAAAGCTCTTATTGGTAACAACAAAGTGAGAGAGAGAAAAAAACTAAAAGGCATACACGATTTAGGCATACACGATTTTCTATAATCAGAATGAGAGAATATTTGCAAAAGAAAATTTAAATGATGGAAACCAAAATTTATTTTGTTTGTTGTCGTCAATTTCTTTACTTCTTTTTTCTATAGTAATCAAATAATTTATTTCTACTCGATGTTGAGAGTTGAGACACAGACACCAGTTGTAAAAAGAGTGCTTATTACATTCACTTTCACACGTCGTCGTGTTGTGAAGCATGACTCTCCCTCCCTCCATTATGCGCTGTACTACGGCGCCGTTTTAGTCACCTTTCCTATACGACGTCATCTCTTCTTGTCTGATTCTGACTAATACAGTTATTATTACTTGGTTTGGTTTGGTCTTTGGGTGTGTATTATCCGGTTAAAGTCGTTTTTAAAAGTCAACTTTAAGATCAAAAGAAGAATCTAAACAAGTAACAAATATGAATTTTGTGCAACTATTTGTATATCAAAATTCAGTATGTATGTTCATGATATGATGATTTTTGATTTTTCTACTTACATTTTTTTTTTTAACTGCTTTTCAGGGCATACTTACGGAGTTACGGTTACTGGTAAGCTCTTCTATACACAAGAAAAGGAAATTAAAAATGACACTCACACAAGTAACCGACAGCAGTCTAGATACAAAACCCAAAAGTTAAAAACAGCCAAATATATGGTACTTGGTCTTAGATTCTCAATCTTGTTTTCTCGTTTTGATTTTATTTTTAGTTAGGGAGATCTTGTTTGCAGAGAGGACAGCACGAGATGATACGAAGCCATTGATCTACGCATTTGAGGTGGAACCTATGCGAACATGGAAGCTTTCTCACTTCTTCTCTCTCTTTGTACTTTGCCAAACATATGCAGCATTCCTGCAACATCAAGAATGTTGTTACTTGCAGTTTTACAGGTAGAAAAACAAATCCACTGATTTCTGACTATTTGACCTACTTCAGAATTCAGATTATAGCTTTTTACCGGATCATTGTTTGCTTGAGCAGAATCAGAAGTTTCATCAATGAGTTTGTATTTCCAACTGGGGAGACTAGATATTTGGTCATCTGACGCTCCTTTGTCAGAAGATGCAATGTTCATGTTGTAGCCGAGGAAGCTACTGATGAGAGGCACAACACAACATAGCAGGAGGAAGAGCAGAAATGGGAAGGAGTAGCAGAGAGCGTTCCAAGTGAGCAGGGAGATGCAGAGGACATGAAGGATTGGAGCATAGTGGAAAGAACCGAACCTAGAATCAAACACCCATACATTGCCTATCACAAACCATATCGCAAAGAAAAGTTCCAGCGATGTCCTGCATCTGTTCATCAAATGTGAGCACCTGAAACACACACACACACACACACACACACACAGAATAAGTCATTAGCATAAAGATCTTTACATTCCAAGTTTTCTGAACAATGTTCAATCTTTGATTAGAAGATTTTTGCTAGTAACCTGGTCTCTTCTCTGCTTCTTTCTTGCTGCTCAATATCACCAAAGCTAAATCCATTACCTTGGCTAGTGTCATGTTGACGATACCGACCGTATAACAGCATAAGATTGAGCAGACATCCGACGTTGTAACCGGTGATCCATAGCCTCATCGGCCAAACAGGCCTCTCTTTCTTGGACAAGGCTAGTGTGGATGTTATCACAGTGATCTGTACAAGTAAAGCGATGAGCTCTGATATCATCCAAGTGACTGAATTGAAAGGATTGGTGCCAAGATCGGATCTTGAGGCGTTCTGGTAATGAAACACCCTTCTCAAGAAAATGAACCACCTAGCTCTAGATACTCTCATGGCCAGTCTCATCAAGAAGGAAGGAGATGGAGAGCTCTGAGGAGCCATGTGAGTGTTATCATCATGTGGCGTTGAATGGAGGGAAGAAGATGAGGAGACAGTGATGGAGCTAATGGCTGATGATTGTAGCTGAGAGGAATAACGAGTACTCATATCGGAATCAGAAAGAGAGTTTGATTAGATCTCTCTTGAGAAACTGAGCAAGAACAGAAGAAGAACAGAGTAAAGCTGGAAAACCCCAGATAAGAAGAGAGGAAGGTGTAGAGATAATGTCAGAGAAGTTGAAGTTGGGTGTGAGATGGCGACGAAGAAGCAACCAGAAAAAATGGATTTTTGCTTAGGTTTGAAGTTTGCAAGCAGAGGCAGAGAAGGAGAAGATAACCGTTGTTGACCTATAAAACCTAACAACCTCAGTTTTTATCTTTGAAGCAATACTCCGACAGCAACCGCTGCTTTAACCATTCTCATTTTTTAAGTTAGAAAACAACAACTCTCTCCCTCTCTCCCTCTCTCCCTCTCTCCCTCTACGCAAGCCAAATATTTTTGGAATCAAAAATATATATATTTAAGAATCCATTACTTTGGTCGAGTCGGGTCGGGTAAACGGGTACCCAAATCCCGCCACAGGTCCAGCCGATTTGTATTGCGGCTTTCCTGATCTCCTTAGTTACGGACTGACTCAGTGTCAGTGACTTCGTGATCGAGTCAATGCCGGGATTGGGAATTAATGGCGAGCTCAGGAATGAGGTATGAGATCTCCCAGAATGCTTACATCAACTTTGTCCTCCACTGGAGATCTCTCTCGTCATATTTTGAAGGTTTGAAACCCAAACTATGAAGCTTAGGATCTGATTGCGTTTGACGTGTAAAGATGGTAAATTTTGGATCTTGATTGCTTTGAAATTTGAATTGACGACAGGCAGGGAAGTAATCCCCAGCAGCTGTTAATAGAGCTTAGTGTCTGTCTACTAGGAATTCATTTAGAAAAGATAGAGACCTTAAACCTTGTTTTGCTTGACTTTGAAACAATACATTGATGACTTCGGGTTGTTGCTCTGATGAATCAGATAGAGGATTATTACTTAGCTCAAGGTCTTAGGTATTGTTAATGAACGAAAGGTTTGATGATGTTGCGGCTTTGTGGGTGTGGCCAAGAACATTTCTTGCTATTTCCTCCATGCTCCACTTTTCTTGGTGAGTATCTTCCCTTCTACTTGGAGAATGATCAGAGCAAGATGGAGGCAGCAAGCTACTCTTATAGGAGCCATCAGCTAATATTGTTTTATCAGATTTGCTTTTCATCAGAGAAAATGGATGGACCTCGCTGACGTTGATGATCATCTTGACAATGTCACCTAGTAAACGAGGTGTGAGAATCCGTAAAGCTTCTTCTTTAATGTACAAGATGGTAGTGTCTCATTTCTAATCACTGTCCTCTAATTTAATTGCAGGGACTGGCTCAACTCTGCATTCCTCAGATGTATCTAAGTCATACCTATGCTTTTCATCATTATCATTTACCGTAAGCTTTTAGGGACTCTTGTTTGGAGAAATAGAGTCGTGTTTACGTGTTTTTCAAAATCCCCACAGAGCACAAGTGCTCAAAGTATTTGTACATCCTGAGACTCTGCATTTTAAATTGACAAGTGAAATCAAATTTCTTGGAGCTTCTTCTTGTTGTCCATTTTCTTAGATCCCTAAACTATGATCTTTGGCTGTTCTTATATCTTGCACGATGCCTGGTTGAAAATCCGGAGTCACTTACAATCCAAATCATTTTTTACATTTTCACTCAAACTCACAAGTCTTTACACAATTATTATTATGGCTATCAAACCATTTGGCAGTAGTTTTCCCTCACCTGCAGGTCTGAGAAATTCCAGAGAAGATGGTAAACTGCAACAAGGTTTTAGAACACCGGGCATCCCTTTACTACGATCCCTTTCTCTGTCGGGCAATTTGCTAAAGGGCAATGGTCTGTGTTCTCACTTCCCCACCAACTGGGTAAGCTTATGTTATTGTTTTGCAACGCAAAGTAGATCAACACTCCCATAACCGCAGTGCCTGCATCAAGAGCTGCAGAGAGGATGTAGTTATGCCTTGCCCACCATTTCTTGTACCTCCTGAAGATATAGTAGTTGAACACGGCCCCCACAACCAACCACGACCAGTAATGCACAGACTTGGCCGTTGGCATGATACTAGTCGCTGAGAAGATCAAGGGAATATGAATCTGCTGTATCCACTTCTTCTCCGGGAATTTCCTTGCAAAGAACCAGACAGGGACAGGAGCAAGAAAGCCAATGAGGAAGAACCAGTTCAATCCCGGGTAAATGCCTTTACTTGTGAACATCCTTCCAGGACCGATGATTCCCCAAATGATCGACGCATTATAGAACACTTCATCCCCGGGGCAAGTCCACGGACTACTCTTTGGGAGCTTATCTGTGTTACAGATGTTCTCGACTGAAGAAAGCAGCCACCATGTGGACCCGAAGGAGACAGTTGAAGCAACAATAGTTGCAACTAGTTGAACGAGGAACATAGATCTCGGAGGAATTTTCATGTAGTGGCCAAGTTTGAAGTCTCCAACAAAATACAAGGCTTGAGACATACTCACAGTACCATAAGTCTTAAAAGCCACATTGGCAAGTGGCTTTCCCGGATACAAGAACCCGATGATCAGTTCCGATATAACATTAAGACCCATTTGCTGATTTGTGGTCGCTAGGATAACTCCAATAGGCAAAGTGAAGGTAAAGGCGATGGCGCAAGCGAGTAGAAGTCCCCACCATGGAAGCTGAAGCTGTTTGCCAAATCCCTCACATGCGTAAAGAGCTAGCACAAAGGAAACAGCGAGAACCGCGACAAACCACCATTGAGGTACTTCTTTATAATTTTTCTTCATCAGTCTTGTATGCACATCTCCAAACTTGTCCTTTGTTGCCAATGTTGTCTTCTTCCACAGCCCCCAGATAAACCTTCATGGAAACAACCACAACAACAAGAATAAATTTTTTTTGATGGAATTTGATATATATATTGTGGTGCAGAGTAAGTAAAAAAAAAAAGACATTCTTACTTTCCCTCAAAGAGGGCGACATGAGAAATGGTTGCTGTAAGGGTACCGAAGCTGAGTCCATAGAGCAGAGCAAACAGAATGCTAAGGTAAAGCTTGCTATAGCCTTCGTAAGCAGGGAGATCGATGTTGAATGTTTTCTGGTTGAGGATATGAGTGGTGTTGTAACGGTGACCTGTGTGATCAAATGTTCGAGAGGTATAGAAAGGAAACTTCTTTGCCTCGTAAGCGTTGCTCCAGTAGAAGATAGGAAAGATGATGTAGAAGAAGATGACAAATCCGCAGAAGCAATTGGCTATAGCAAAGAAAGGTACAGCTAGAGGACTGCCTAAGAAACCAGCAACCGTGGACCAATCGAGACCAAATGAGCCAATCCCAAGACCATGCAGGCCTGAACCGATCTGTTGAGCGGTCACGGAGCGGGTCCATATCCAGCAGATGAAAGAGAGGGATGAGATGGAAGGGAAAAGGTAGCCAGGTACTATGTAGTAAGTGAAGCTCAGGAAGAAGACTATTAAGAAGAATCTAAGCCTCGTTTGTTTGCCTTCACGGTTCTCCTCCTTCTCATGTAAGGCTCTAATCCATATACACAAAAATTATAAACAATTTTTATAATTTCGTGACGGAAACAAATGTGAATAGTTTAAAAGTAGAGAAAACACAAACCTAAAGAGAGAGACTTGAACAAGATTTGCAGGCCACCACATGTAAGGTGAGTCCACTAGGAATTTCCTGAACATACCCGCCCATCCATATCCCAACAACTATATGACAAAATACAAATTATTTAACTTCAGCAAAAAGTTTATTTAACTTTAGAGTTGTCCTTATATTGTGGCATACATATATATATACCTGAGTGGTTTGCACAAGCAACATGGCTGCGGTGGGATTAAGACTCCGGTGGTAAAATGCTTTAACGATGGTAACGATGCTGGTAGCGTAAGCTCCTCCGGCTCCGGTATTAGCGAATATAGTGATCAATACATGTTCCTTCATGTTGAATGGTCCAGGGTTCAACGAACCGTACCAGTTAGTACCGAGTAACCGGAATTTCCTCGTTGGTAGAGTCGTGGCCATGAGCTTTCCAAGAGGCAGAGTGACGATCTGAGCCACGACTGAAGATACCGTCAGCCGGTTGGACCGGTAACCGAAGAAATTGTTCACGAAGGCGAGTACCACGCACGATAACATTCCTAAGAACCATGTTCGGAACGTCAAAACCGGCAGAGATGGGTCGTCGGTTATAGGTACGGTTAACCGGACTTCTTCTATTGGACTGTCGTTTTCATCCTCCTCTGCTTCTTCTTCTTCATCTGCACCGCCAAAACCGGTGTCAAAAACTACTTAAAGACGTTAACCGTTACACACGGAACAAAAAATTTACTAAAACAGAGGAGTTTTTTTTTTTCTTTTGGTAATCAAAACAGAGGAGTTCATTTACCGGGTATGACGATCTTGGACTCAAACGTCTGCTCCAGAGGCTTGGATACTTGGAGATTGCCTGGCATTTTCTACTTTTTCTTCAAAGAATAGACGTCGGCTCTGGTGAGAACTGGATAACTTGCCGGAGAATTAATGTTCTTGTAAGCAACTTGTGTTAGTGACCTGACACTAAAAGAAGTTTGTTTCTGATGTTTAGTATAGGGATGATAGATATAAGGGCATACTAGAGAGTCTAGTACACTTTATATAATCGACATTGCACTTGAGTCATTAAAAACACTAAACTTTATATAATCGACATTGCACTTGAGTCATTAAAAACACTAAACTTTGTTTCGAGAAAACTTTCAACTTGTGGGGTGAAAAAGGTAAAATCTTGAATTCTGAGTATGAAGGAAGGTAGATTCTACATATTGAAACGGGCACTTAACTTAACAAAATAAACAGATACTAACTATAGCAATTTTTAGCATGATGTCACTTACATATACTAAATGTAGCAATTTTTATACAATTGATATATAGCTTTGATTGTAATTATTTTTTCTCTTCGTATTCACTTTATTGCTTTGTTTTGAAAGAAACAAAAATCAGTTCCACATAAGATAAAGACTTTTTTTAATATAGACGAAAAGAAATTGAACTTATCAAATATTGTTTACATACTTTTCCATTTAATTTAAAGATTATGATATATAGAGAGAGTAGGTTACAAAAAGAAATTTAGCATCCCAATGATTTACTAGAGTAACAGATGTTCATGAAACAGATAAAATAAACTTAGTAACAGATGATATGGTGATGTAAGAGTTGCAATTTAATTGGCGATCACTTGCAGCAGCTATAAAACAAAATTTAGCGATAAAGAGTTTTACAAAAGTCTTTTATACATGTAACTAATTGGTTCGTGTTCGATGGGAATACTTTGATGCATGGCGCACCGCTTAATACAAACCTTGATTCCTTGACTTTGGACTCTTTTTGTTTTGTGCGTAGGACGCGCGTCAGAACATATTATAAGTGTGTGTGTGTTTCTCTGTCTTGTAGCCACAATTGTATCGTTCTGTCTTGTACTCACAATTGAATTTGTATCGATCGTTGTGTTTTTGTTTTGATTTCCAATATCTATCGTTGTTTCCGAAATCTATAAGGTTGTAGATTATGAAACGATTGTTTCCATTTTCGTTCAAGTAATCTGTTTTCTAACCAGTGTGGATACACTGTCTTATTCAGTCTGTTTCATGTCAATTAATATCTACAACATTTTAGGTTCTATTTTGTAATCATTCACCTATGCAACTATGATCATTTCTATTATTACAATTTTCTTCATTTAAACAAATAAGTTTCTTTTTTATTCTTGGGATTTGAAATTCACAAGATTAAAAATTCGCTTTTGCGTTTTGAAAATTGCTTTTCAGAGATTAAACAGTATTTTGACACGTATATGTAAGAACACATAAGTTCTTAGATGTATCAGTATATTACTTGGATTATAATCATGAAGTTAGTGAAATTTACGAGTAATCACTCATATAACACACTCAAATCATTAATTATCCAACACAACAAAGCACCAAAACACGAAGTAGTACTGTTAGTGTTGCGCAAATCATACACCATAATTTATTGGGCTACCTCATAATAAACTGGACTACCTACGGCCCATTAATTAGTATCAATCAGCCCATTAACGTTGCTGCTCATTCTCCGTGTAAGTTAGTTACTGTACTTTCTTCTACCTACCCTCCATCTTCTAGCTCTGCACTTCTGCTAAACCCTCGCCGCGCTAAACCCTAAGCTGTAATAACTGATTCCATGGCTGCTCTTACGCGTAACAAGAAGAAGGGGACTACTAATTCAAAGTCCCCTCTAATGAAGAAGGCGGCGAAACCCCGGAAGCCTCCACTGAAGAAGCAGAGAAGATGCATTTTGGAGGAAAAGCCTGAAGTTTCTACTGAAGAGGAAATTGAACAGTCTAATGAAGGAGATGAAGGGTCTGAATCAGGTTCTGACTTTTTCTCAGATGTTGATGGAGACAAAGGAAACGATGATGATGATGATGATGATGCAGAGCCCTTGGCTGACGACTTTCTTGATGGTAGCAGCGATGATGTGGAGGGAACTTTGGGTTCTGATTCGAATTCTGACTCTGATGAATCCGATATTGAGAAAAAATCTAGAGCTATTGATAAAAAACGTAAAAAGGAGGAACAAGATGCAAAAGATGAATTCACTATGAACATTAAGGAACAACCTGATGAGTTTCAGCTACCAACCAAAAAGGTAACATTTTTCTGACGATTGATTATGAATTTGTTCATTTGCTGTCTCTCGTGCAAATGACACAGATTAATTACTTATGTAATCACTCTATTTCTCTACATTGTTTAGGAACTTGAAGAAGAGGCTCGTAGGCCTCCAGATCTTCCTAGCTTACAAATGAGGATTAGAGAGAGTGAGTAACATTTTTCAAATTTTATTCCTTTTGAGGTTGTTGGGGTAATATTATTATTAGGATTGTTTCGGATCTTCTAAGGAATCATCCTCTCAGGTTCTTAGTTTAATGGTACGAATATATGTTTCAGTTGTTAGAGTGCTGTCGAATTTTAAGGATTTGAGGCCAGATGGAGCCGAGAGGAAGGATTATGTTGAGCAGCTTAAAGCTGATCTTGGTTCTTATTACGGTTATAATGCGTTTCTTATCGGAACTTTAGTCGAGGTTATTCCTTAGTCTCTGACTTTTCTCTTTCCGCTCGCTTTGGTCTTAAGTTATGCGTAGAATATAGTATGTTCTCTTTAATTGTGATATTTTGGCAGATGTTTCCTGTTGTTGAACTCATGGAACTAATTGAAGCTTTTGAAAAGAAAAGACCTACATCTATACGTACTAACACTCTCAAGGTGAACTTTTTTTGTGCTTTATAGTGTTTAGAAATAAGTACTCTTTGACTGTTGAGGTATGCAATTTATGCAATTGTTTGTTTTTCTTTAAGACTCGGAGACGGGATCTGGCTGATGTACTTTTGAACAGAGGAGTTAATCTGGACCCATTAAGCAAGTGGTCAAAAGTAAGTAGTATTTGCAGATTGTCTTCCATTCAATTTGCGTTAACATTTTTGTGGACCATCTGTAGTTGATCATAGCAAAATTTTGTAGGTTGGACTTATCGTTTATGATTCACAAGTTCCAATCGGGGCAACTCCTGAATATTTGGCTGGTTTCTATATGGTAAATGATTGTCTGATATTTTTGTACTTCCGGCTCACACTTTATGGGTATTCTTAGTTGTTTACTTAAGTATGTTCGTGGTACATTTTCAGTTGCAAAGTGCTAGTTCCTTCTTGCCAGTGATGGCCCTTGCTCCTAGAGAAAAAGAGCGAGTTGTGGACATGGCGTAAGTAGTTATATACATAAATGCACTATATTTATGTCTCAGATAACCATACATATGATGACCAAACATTACCACAGGTTGATATTCAAGTGTAGTTTGACGTATTATGTGTGATTGATGCAAAGTGTTGTCAAAAAGACAAAGCTAATTTGATTGTCCCGTGATGGGAGACATATGCAACTAGTATATTGTGATATCTATAACAATTTTTTATGCTACTGCAGTGCTGCCCCTGGTGGTAAAACAACTTATGTTGCTGCACTAATGAAAAATACAGGTATGAATTCATCGGTTCCTGGTTCATTGTTCATCCATCCCCATATTTTTTTTATCAGTTTTCCTAATGTTATAATGATTATATAACCAGGCATAATATACGCGAACGAGATGAAAGTACCTAGGCTTAAGTCACTTTCTGCCAATCTACATCGCATGGGGGTGACAAATACCATAGTTTGTAACTATGATGGAAGAGAGGTTAGCTTCTTGAACCTTAATTCTTCAATCGATGATACTGCTTCTCTATTAACTAATTTTTAAAGACTGCTTCTCTATTATTCCCTGACATTTTTGTATTTATCTAATTTTCTTTGCCTTTCAGTTACCCAAGGTTTTAGGTCAGAACTCGGTTGATAGAGTATTGTTGGATGCTCCTTGCAGTGGAACTGGAGTAAGAAATTTTGGACCCGACCCTCTTATAGTCTCTTAAGTAAATTTCTGTTCGTAGTTTGATATCCACTTCTACAAAATGCAGGTTATATCAAAAGATGAATCGGTTAAAACCTCCAAAAGTGCTGATGACATAAATAAATTTGCCCATTTGCAAAAGGTAGGTTATTGCCTTAAACAAAATCAACTAAAAAACATTATTTACATTCAATCCAAATATATAAAGATACAAATTTATAAAGATGAAAATGGCATGATTACACTCTCTTATTGCAAAGAGATCAAGTCATCAAGAAAGATGCATGTGGTTTGTAATGCTAGCCTACTCTTTTATTTTGCGTGTAGCAACTTATACTTGGTGCGATTGATTTGGTAGACGCCAATTCCAAAACCGGTGGATACATTGTTTATTCAACATGCTCTATTATGATTCCTGAGGTTGGTGAACCATACTTTAATTTGTTCCAAAATTTTCTTTTCCAGTCTTCATGTTGTGTCACTATTTTTTATTTGTACAACAAATTATGCAGAATGAAGCTGTCATCGATTATGCCCTGAAAAAGAGGGATGTTAAACTTGTTCCATGTGGACTTGATTTTGGCCAACCAGGGTAATTTATGTTTTCATCTGCATAGCAAAATTTCATGATTCGTCATCTGAAAACAATTGTTTTACTGTATGTCATCAGATTTAACAGTTTTAGAGAACACCAATTCCACCCTTCTTTAGAGAAGACTAGACGATTCTACCCGCATGTACACAACATGGACGGTTTCTTTGTTGCAAAGGTATACAATTTGGGTTAGCCTGTGAATAGATTTTCCCTACAAAAGATCCTGCCGTTTAATGCGGATAGACGAAAATATGTTTTGTGAAATGTCAATAGTGATTTCACTAAGGTGTTTTACTCTTCCTTTTTGGTTCTGCAGCTGAAGAAGATGAGCAATGCAATGCAGCCTTCAGAAAATGATGAGCCAGTTGAAACAACGGAGCAATCTCGGGTGTCGTCTAGTGATGATGATGATGAGGCTGAGGCCATTGAGGAGTTGGAGAAGCCTTCTGTTACTAAAGAAAACAAGAACAAACAAAAATTTCGAAGGTCAAAGGAGACTCACAAAGACAAAAGGAATAAAGACATAAAAACCAAAAGTGGTACTGTGGAAGAACCAAGGAAGCAAAAGAAGAAGAGATCACAATGGAAGAATGAAATTGCTCAAGCTAGGTAAAAAAATTCAGTCAGTGTTTCCCTGACAGACGAAAGAGAAAACCTTCTTATGTGCCCATTTGTTCTTAAATGGTTGAATATGTTACAGGGAAGAGAAAAGAAATGCCATTAGAGAGAGTGCTAAGGAGAGGCCAAAGCACAGAGGATAAGATTTAGGTTGGTGATGCATCTTGGAGAACAAAGTCAAAGCGACATAATCTTTCGGTGTCATGGTCATGGTGAAGTAAACAAGAAAGGAAAGGCTGCATCGGCTGAGGCTAAGGTATCAATTGTAGTATACATAATGGCTTTGTAATTTTTGACCAAGTTACTGAGTAAACATCAAAACAGCTAGAAAACATGGGAAAGAAAGAGTGACAGTCACATGGATAAGTTACATCTCGAACCAAAGTTTTGTATCTAGTCTCGTAACATTATTGTATGAAGCTGTTTATTTTCTTTGTTTTCGATGTGGTGTTGTTGTCAATTAATTAAAGAAAAAAATGACTCCTTGAAATCGAAGTGTTTGAAAGGCTATAACTTTGTCTCATCAGTCCATCTCTTAAATAAGATATGATGAGGAGAATTATAAAATTTGGAGGGTGGGAGCCATGCCATGCCACACAACATAAAGATAGAATTCATCTGATGGGAAATTAAGGGATTTAGGAGTGAGCTGTTAATTGTTAGGGAGGGGATGTGAAAGTTTTCAGAAGTGGGACTTTTGTGTTGGAGAAACATGATAATGCCTCAATCAATTCTTCATCCATCTTTGTCAGATTGTCTCTGTTGGGGACCTTATTACATTTACTTCTCTCACACTAATCTTCTTGTTTCTATATTTAGATTGTTCAGCACATATTATTATACTGCTGTACACAGACACACTCGCATTATATGGTTTTGCTGTATGCACTTTATATAAATAAGATTTGGATATTCCAAAAATCCGATAAAGAGTAGAAGAGAAAAGAGATTCCTTTGCAAGGACCCGACCAAAAGATACATCTTTTAAAAGCAATGAGTTGATTAAAATTTACCATTCTTGCTTAATTGTAATTTGGGGACTATGAATAGTTATCAGTGATGTCGATTCAAACAAGAACAGAGAGTAACTACTAATTAATAAAATAATCAAATCTCAAAAACATTGAAAATAGTAGTATAGTACATCTCTCTATGCATGGAGATAAGATTTATTGTCATTGCAAATTACAAGGCATGAGGCATCCTTATCTATTTCTTTTTTGGTTAATCACAAAAGCTTTTTGTCTAATTTGTCTGTCTTCCAGTTGTGAGAATTGAGAAATACATGAAAATATAATAAAGAGAAATGAAAAAGCCCTAAAAAAAGTCGAAAACTTTTGCTTTGACCACCTCTCTCCTCATTTCATGGTTAGGTCCCAACTCTCTCATTTCTCACTCTCTGATTCATTTCATCTCTCTTTCTCTCTCTCTCTCTTCGTTTCCATGGAAGGAAGAAGGTGATGAGTTCATCAATCTCTCTCTTTTAGTCTTTTACTGATACATGATGATGAAAGTCATCTCCTTCCTTTTTTGGTATATCCCTTTTTCTTCTTTCTCTGTCTAACTCCTGAACTCTTAAGATCTTTCTCTCCCAAAGCTCTTCTTTAAGGTAACGATTTGTGTATATTTCTCCTCTTCATTATATATTTTTTTTGTTTCTGTGGGTCTGCCTACCTAGATCCAGAAGGGCTTTTCTTGATTGTTCTTACTTTTCTGAGATCTGTTTAAAAAGTCAGACTTTGCATGAAATCTGTGACTATGGGTTTTATGCTATCTTTTTGTTAATTGGAGAGTCAGAGAGTCTGAATTGTATTCCCTGATGTAGAAATGATGAATTAATTTTGAGTTAAGAGTTAGTATATGTTACTCAATTACTTGTCACTGAGATTTCAGCTCAAGATCCGTAACTTGTTTCTTTCGACCTTTTGCTTTCTATATGGAAACTACAATTTTCAATGATATTTCTTAATTTGATGTGGTTAACGCTTGATCTTCTGATTTCAACATCAATTCCTTAGTAATGATTGATTGAGCTATGACCTCAGCTCTGAGGTTATCTTCTTGTTTTAAAATAGCAACTTTTAGTGCTTTTTTGTTTATCTGCTCATCTCTGTGGTAAAGAATGTTTCTTGTTAGGGGGAACAAAGTAATAAGAGCTCTTGATTGCTGATTTTGCCATGATTTTAATTTATGTCATCTGTATCTGAATTGTTTTCAGGTTTTTTTTAACTCTATAAGTATTCCTTCTCGATATGAGATCCATTGCTACAACTGTTTTTGCTCTGGGAATTTTCTTTTAAGACTAAGTAACAGACGCTATGTTTTGCTCAATGCAGAGCTCAGGTCACTATCTGTCGGGAGCGGTGACAGCACTGATTACTGGAGTTAAGAGCAAATATTGGGTGTTAAGTAGATTGGTTCTGTTCATGGCCTCAAAGTCTGGTTCTGGAGTTCTCCCAGAAATTAATAAGCAAACCTCGGAAGCATCGTTTTCCAATTCCAGTCATAGTGTCTCAGTCAACACTTTGGCAGATCAAGTATCTTCTACTTTATCTTTTGCTCCAAGCAGTGACAGTAAAACTGGTGGAGAAGTTAAACTTAATGAGCAGTCTGATCCTGCTGAAAGCGGAAAGAGTAACACATATAGACCAAGCACAAGCAGTGACATCAGTGATGAGAGCACATGTAGTAGCTTAAGTAGCAACAACAAGCCTCACAAGGCGAATGATGTGAGATGGGAAGCCATACAAGCTGTCCGAACAAAACATGGTATTTTAGGTTTGAACCATTTTAGGCTCTTGAAGAGGTTAGGGTGTGGGGACATCGGAACTGTCCATCTTGCTGAGTTGCATGGAACAAGGTGTTATTTTGCAATGAAGGTTATGGACAAAGGGGCTTTGGCTAGTCGTAAAAAGCTTCTTAGAGCTCAGACCGAGAGGGAGATATTGCAATGTCTTGACCACCCTTTTCTCCCAACTTTGTATAGTCATTTTGAGACTGATAAGTTCTCATGTTTGGTTATGGAGTTCTGTCCTGGAGGTGACTTGCATACTCTTCGACAGAGACAGCCGGGGAAGCGATTCTCGGAACAAGCAGCAAAGTAGGAGTTATTTTTTGAACCAGAATCAATTTAGTGTTGTGCCCTAGATACCTCTTTTTGTGTTAAATCATTTTGGCTTTTTTTTTTTACTTTTCTTCCAGGTTTTATGTAGCAGAAGTACTTCTTGCGATGGAATATCTTCATATGCTTGGGATCATTTACCGTGATCTTAAGCCAGAGAATGTTCTTGTGAGAGAAGATGGACACGTTATGCTTTCTGACTTCGACCTTTCTTTGAGGTGTACTGTTAGCCCCACAGTGGTCAGATCAACTGCTCTCGTGTCTGAAGGGCAAAGGAACTCGGGTTATTGTGCCCAACCTGCTTGCATCCAACAGCCATCTTGCATTTCTGCTCCTACAACATGCTTTTCTCCGCGATTTTTCTCAAGTAAATCCAAGAAAGACAAGAAGATGAAAAATGAAACTGGAAACCAGGTTAGTCCGTTGCCTGAGCTCATTGCAGAGCCTACAAGCGCTCGTTCAATGTCATTTGTTGGCACACATGAGTACTTAGCCCCTGAGATCATCAAAGGTGAAGGGCATGGGAGTGCGGTTGATTGGTGGACTTTTGGAATCTTTCTGTACGAGCTATTGTTTGGTAAAACCCCGTTTAAAGGATCTGGAAATCGAGCAACACTCTTTAACGTTGTGGGTCAACCTCTTCGTTTCCCTGAATCTCCAGTTGTCAGTTTTGCTGCTAGGGATTTGATTAGGAGTCTGCTTGTGAAGGAACCTCAGCATAGATTAGCGTATAAGCGTGGTGCAACTGAGATGAAGCAACATCCTTTCTTCGAAGGAGTGAATTGGGCATTGGTTCGATGCGCTAGCCCACCAGAGATACCGAAACCGGTTGATCTTGAGAGTGCTCCTGCTACTCCAGCAGCAGCCACATCTACCAGTGTCAAGTCTGACCAGAGTAATTATCTGGAGTTTGATTTCTTTTGAGAACTTTCAGCAAGAAAACTGCCAATAGATTATCAAATTGTTCTCTGCAATCTGCAAATCCGTTTAGTATTTTGAAAATGTGATAACTCTTTAATTCTTTGTCAATGCCATTCATGGAAAATTCTGAATACTCTAAGCTTTTCTTTCATAATATGTGGAAAGTAAAAAAAAAAAGGAAAGCTATTAAAAAAAGCATGAGAAGTAGGAGCACAGAAATAACGTTGATACATATTATCAAACAGTTTTAACATGGATCGTCCTCTCGAACAGAAGGAGAAATGTAGTTTGAAAGCTGAAACAAGATCGCAATGTTTGATAAGAACATAATCATCTTAGGGCTACAATTATTTTCATTATAACTGTTTGTAGCAAGTATAAGCAACAGCCACAGAAGCAACAGCGCAAACAACAGCAAGGGCAGCATATGTATCTTCTCTCTCCCAGCTCTCTAGCCATGTTGGTATTCCACAAACCTTACGTGTGGAAGATCCTTTGTCACTATTAATTCGAAAGAAAGTCTTTTCTGCAACTTTTCTTCCCGGTGTAAGCTTCTCATTGTTGTTTTCACTTTCAAGTTGATTATCTTCTGATGCTTCCAGAGACAACATCAGAGTTGTGTCGTCTTGACAACATGAAGAGCTATTCCCATTTTGTTGACAACAACCATTAGGTTCTGCAGCTCGTGACTGGCAACAGGAAACATCAGCGCTGGGAAATGATGATTGCTGAGTCACTTTCACATTGCTCTTTATCGTATGGACTGAACCATTTAGCTGAAACCGCCCTTTTTGAGTTTTCTTCTGTTCTTCTTCTGATAGACCCATTTCACCCCTAAAAAAGCAGAGAACGATAATAAGTTACTCTACCTATTACCAAGTAATATGGAAACTGCGAGAAACTCAGCAGACCAAGAAACTATATATTTATTACCTCCATAGCCGGTCTACGATCTCGCCTTTGTTAATGTGCTGCTCCAAGAGAATAGGTACATCTTCTGGAGTCACATACCCATACCTAAACACAAGAATGATACTATCATTAATTCATAAACAGGGTATGATTGATTTGGGCATCGCAGAGAACTTCCATGTTCTATCCACATCTTAATTTTGAAGATAGCTATTAAAATATCACAACCTTTCAAGACCAAGACCTTTTAAAAATACATTCTTCATCTCCTTAATGAACAATTATTATAAAATCACATGAAAGAAAGAAGTATGTCACTTTAAACCAGTCAATAAATATGTATTTCCTTACGCACCAGTGTCCTGTGACTTCTCTGTTGATGTTTGATCTGTAGATGATAACATTTCCAGCGTATTTGTGACCACCAATGTGAGAGCATGGGCTAACTGACACTTTACCTTGAAGACCATGGAACTCAAGTTCTTCTCTAAATCTACTAACCAGCGACGGCCCACAAACCCCACAACGCCGGTCTCGGGATCCATGGGAACATACAAAGACATATGAGCCTTTTAGCAATCCAGGATTTCCAGGCAGCCATTCACCATCCTTCACAAGCACCTCTTCCACAAATGTTTCCACATCAAAATGAGTCAACCTTCTGCATTTTTGTTGAATTGAAACTGTCAAAAACAAGTTCCGACTGTTGAAAAAAAAGAGCAAAGAAATCTCCAACTAGCAGTACTATAACCATTACCTGTATCTTATCATATCAGGAAAGATAAGTACATCACCATTGGATGTCTCTGTCCCATCATGTCCCTCGCATATTGTGAGTCGAGTCTACAGAGCAATAGACGAATAAACAAACAAAACATGAGGCACAACGCTTAAAAGATCATAAGATGCCAGACTGTGAGCCTCATCATAAGAGTATCCAATGATAAACAATCAATTAAATCGATTAGAGACTCCATCTCCAATTAAGTTCACCACTGACATAGCACATGAAAAGAATAAAACCACTGTACATCAAAGCTCAAAAACGTAGTAGCGTGTTCTATGATCCCATCTTGAAGCACACAAGTTATTATGTTGTTACCTATAGAATCTTTATAAAAGTAGACACTTTACCCACTTTACCCTATCTGACCAAAACAGAAATGGCAAGAGTCACCAGGAAGGAGTTCTTATGAGTTATTAAGATCTTAAAACAGATACTTTAAGCAAAGCCAAAACAACAGAGAACAAGTAATTTTAGCTCGAGATTTGGGAGATAGAACCGGACCATAAAACTCTCAAAGTAAGAATCAAACTTACTGGAAAGAATCAGACCTAAATCCATGAGAATCAAGCAATAGAATTGGAATATGGGTTCAAGTCAACAGCAAACAAGCTGAATCAATCAGAAGAAGATGGAATCAGAAAATCGCAGATAAGAAAGCTGACCTCCTTTTTCATGCTACCCTTTCTGGCCGATACAGCGGCAGAGAGTAGCCTAGGCAATCGATCGAACTCAGCAGCCTCGATCCTAGCGGGCCAAACAGAGGGCTTTTTGTAACACAAGAAAACATGTCTCTCGTAAAACTGTACTGTTCCAGCGAGTTGCTCCGATCGGAAATCAGGACGAGCGAATCCGAAATCAGAGTCGTTAATGCTCTCTCCACCGCCTCCACCGAGCAAGCTATCGCTCTGAAAGCTACCGGAGCGAGAAGTGGGTTCGCCGAGAAAGGTGTCGAGGTAGTCGGACACAGTGACCGGAGACGAGGCCGAAGATGGATTGCTGGTAAATGATAAAGGGTCCTCTCTATCTCTTCCACTTCCCATTTGAAACCCGACCCGAAGTTGGAAAGTTTATAGATCGTAACTGAAACTATGGAGAGGGGACTGAGAGAGAGAGAGAGAAGAAGAAGAAGAAGAAGGGAGAAGAAGAAGTGAAAGTTTCAGTGCCTTCTACTGAGAGGTCTCTCAAGTATATTCCGTTACTCTAACTCCGGTTTAGTTCTTAACCGATTTCTATTTTGCAATCGGACCGGTACTTTCGCCTTTGTGCATTACGCTATTTCTCGAATCAAATAACCAGTTACGTCATCAAAGAAGATTTTATTCAGATTTGGAAATTGCAATGTAAAGGACATTGGCCTATATCTCTCATTGACACACATGAGATATTTTATTCCAGAATTGAAATAGACAACATACATTAGTTACCCTAAATGTATTTAATCTAACATTTGTGCTTCAGATGTTTTAAGTTTAACTGATTTGTTGTGTAATCAGCCAGGTTTGGTAAGCGTGGACAAGTGTTGCACTGCACGACATGTCTATTTAAAAAAAACTCTGAATGTAACAATAGCAGTTTGGAACGTGTTTTTGTGTTGTCCCATAAAGGGGATGTAAAAGAAGAGCAGATTCTGGCCTGAAGATTTTAGTCCTGTAATAACAGATTCTCTTCACCAATGTTACCCTACGTTGTCTGTGACTGTGCTGATAGTGTTACCAACTCCTGCGTTTCTCAGATTGATTTCACTTGGTAGATTGCAGATATGTTAAGAGGCAGACCAAGGATACATAATCAGCATAAGATCCTTCTGTAATACTCAATATATTATATTCCAAGTCGAAAGGGATATCAAGAGAATCATATTATTCATTTATTACCATTAACCTCCTTCAAACCAGAAGACAGAAACTAAAGATAACCTTAACAATGTCTTCAAAAGAGAGCCTCACAAATCAAAAGACAATCCAAGGAGGCTTTTATGTTAAATGCTATAGACATACAAGCAACCTATCCTTTGGCTATGCAGCTTCTTCCTCTTGTCTCTACCAAAAGTAAAGCTGCTTTGCGCAGTTCAGACTCCAACAACAAAAGATTACATCCACAGATTTAACTTACACATTTGCCAGATGACTACTATGTGCGAGAAGAGATCAATATGTGCGATGTGATCAGACATGAGTTTAGTCTTTCCCCTCCTCACCACCACCAGACCCTCCCACTTTCTTCTTCGCTGCATCCTCTTCTTTCTTCTCCTCCTCCTCATCTTCCTCCTCTTCCTCAGCCTCTTCTGCTAATTTGGTGAGCTCCTCTTGGATAATCAGCTTTATAGATGACTTTCTTGGGGTGAGATCTTCTTTGAACTCCTTAGCTGAAAGATGGGCGGACCAATGTGTTTAACATATATAACCAGAAACCACTGAATAAACAAATAACTGAAAACTAATCTGTACATACCAAGTTCTTTGAGGATGTCTGTGAACGTAGCCTGCAGAAGAACAACAATGCTCTTGTCAGGTTATCTAGGTATACAAGACGATTCACAGTTTGAATAGATATTGCACAACAAACTTCATATCAGCTTTCAGAAAACGCAGGTATTTTTCATGCAACCAATAAGTTCATTCGGCAGAGTCGAAGTTTGTTTTATTCCACAAAGTCCAAGTAGTTAAGTGTATCGCATATTAAAGGTTGAGGAATTACTCACTGTACTAAAGTCCACTCTTTTCAAGATCTCTACAATTGCATTTTTGAGCACTTTATCGCTAGGCTTGTCTTTCCCTTTTCCAGCCCTTTTTACTTTTAGCATATACACAAAAACAGATAATCATAGTGTCAGAAAACATTAGTGGCTGCATATAGGGTAGCTTCAACAAATGAAGTCGTCAGGGAATAAGATTTTCTAATGCATCTGACAAACCAAAGCGACCATCTAACTGTAAGATAAAGAACCAAGATAATGATCAAACCTGGCTTCTCTTTTGATGCAGACTTTGAAGGAGCAGGGGAGGCCTTGGTAAGTTTCTCAGACTTCTTCCTCTTAGAGGACGGCTTTGGACTTGTATCACTATCATCATCAGTCTTCTTTCGTTTTGCTGATGATCGCTTCTGTGTAACTTTCTCTGGTGGGCTGATTTTTGCAGCGACAGCCACTTTCTTGTTTCTAGCTCTGCCTGCTGATTCTTTCTTTCCAGCTGACAATCTAGAACCACGTTTCTTCTTTGCAGTTTCTTCTTCAGAATGCTCCTCAGATTCATCTTTCTCCTCGCTTTCAGAAGGTTGAGGTGCCTCATCCTCAGATTTATCAGGAATGCCATTTTCCTTCTCCCCCTCTTTATTCTCTTCATCCTCTGCTGCCTTCTCCTCTTTCTCTTGCTTTTCTTGTTCTTCTTCTTCCTCTTTCTCCTCTTCAGATTCATCATCAGAATGAGATAAACTCTTTTTGACATCCTTTGTTGCTTCTTCAGACTTTTTTTGGCTCTGCGAGAAAGAGCAAATAATATAATCAGATTTAGGTAATTGCCAAGAGACATGGACCAGTGATGGACAGATTCTCATAAGCTACAGTGAGGCAGTGAGGCACAGATTCTCATAAGCTACAGTGAGGCATAATCTACAGATTCTCATAAGAAAATAAATAAGCCACGAGCTCTAAGCTATCCACTGATACCTTTGCTGATCGCTTGGAGGATGAACTCCCAGCTGCAGGTGAACTTTGCTTCGGAGTTCTCTTGCGTTTTGCTCCCTTACTTGACTGTTTCAACAGAATGGTTTAAGAAAACATAAGATGTACAATAATTATTAAATCAAACAACGCTTTTAACACCAAATTACCTTATCTTTCTCAGAAACAGATACGTCGCCCGTCGCATGGGGTTTCTCCAAAAAGTCAATCAGTTTTGTAATAATATCCTCCTGTGTTCAAAAACATGCAAAAGTAAGTTGCCGTATTGGATTAAATGTGGAAATGAATGAACATAAATTTCTCGTAACCAGAAATGACTGATCAAGCAGGCAGCTCAACAAGAGAGATATTTGTTATACATGAAGAAAAAAAATCTGAAGAACAACAGCTTAGCAATTAATAACCATAATGACCTTCTTTATTGTAGTCTTGGTAAAATGTATGTCCAACACATCACAAAACTCCAACAATTTTTCTTTGACGTATTTTTCAAGCTTTTCTTTTACTTTCTCTTTTGCCTTCTTCTGCAAATAACAAAGAGTCCCACAATTATATACAAAGCAAAGGCTTATGTAAAAAAATCTTCATGTGTGATGTTACACACCTCATTTCCATGCCAAACGAAACCAGAGAACCCCAATATGTTTGTCTTGATCTGGGCAGCCTGTTATAGTAAGAAGAATGAGACATACAAACATGATTTACAATTTTAAAATTATAACTATTTGATGTAAAAGGGTCTACAGAGACGCTCACCTTCCCTCTCCTCCCACCAAATAGAATTCCGTGCAGCAGCTTCAAAGTTTCATCAGACTTCTTCCTTGATACCTTGTTAGCAACTACAGAGAAACAACATTCAAGTTATTTATTTCGTTTCAACTGCAAAATAGGTGCAAAAAATGAAACCATAAAGGTAACTTTTATGTTAGTCATGATTATTAGATTTTGGTTTCCAAGAAATCTTGCTTCTGAGCCAGCTGGAATAGCTAAATGCCAAGGGAAACATTTCAATGAAGATTCACATAACTAGAACAGAAAAGTGTATAGATCAAAGAATCAACAGAGTATAAATGCAATTTCAAAAATGGCAGTACCCAGCACTTAATTTTCCAGTAATAAATGAACGTGTAGGTCATGCATGCACATTAGGAAATAATTAGGCCTCAAACTGAAGACTAAATAAGCTAACCGAAAACTCCGTACAAGTTTAATTCACAGATAGAATACATAGTAATTAGAACATGAACATACCATTGGGAATATCTTTGAGATATGCACCTTGCCCCTGCCATATCCAAAATATAATCAAGTCAGTAATATCCAAAAGATAATGATGAACACATCTAGCACTGAAGTTGTACAAAACTCAGGAAAGTATTAGCAAACCTTTTCAATACGGAATTCTTTCGAGGAATCTCTATCAATCAATGCAACAAGCCTTTCAACAGATTTCCGCTCACGCACAGGTCGATCGGAAAAAGGAGTCCTAGGCTCTGCATCTTTTTTTTCTTCCTCTTTTTTTGTCTTCTCGCGAGCCTTTTCTGCAGAACTCTTTCCTTTCCCACGCTTTTTAGAACCCTTGCTCTCTTCTTTTTCATCTTTATTATCATCACCACTCTCAGCTTTTTCTTCCTTATCATCATTTCTCTCCTCTTTCTCATCTTCCTTCTCATGTTTGCTCTCCACTTTTTCATTCTCGTTCTCATCCTCACCCCCTTGTTTTTCATCTTCAACCTTTGCCTCATCCACCTGAGGCATTGCCGCCTCAACTTCCTCTTTTTTCTTTTCTTCCTTTTCTTTCCCTGCTCCAACCAACTCCTCCTCATTCTCCACTTTTTCAACATTTTCTGTCACTTTGTCTTCACCTACCAGTTTCTCTTCCTCTTTGATGTCTCCTGTATTCCCAACTTTCGTTCCATTTGCCTTTTCACTTTCATGTTTTATGTCCCCCTCTGATTCTTTCCCAGCTTTCTTATGGTCTGCTTCAGTACTACTCGTCTCTTTGATGTCTTGCTTTTCACCATATTTGGCATTGTTATTGTCTTTAGGTTCCACATTCTTCATTACAGTATCTGCCACTGAAACACCATCATCAGTTTGCTCTTTCTTTCCATCAGCAACTTCGTCCATGTTGGTAGCCCCTACTTGTCCCGCATCATTTGTGACCTTAACATCTTCGTCCACTTTTTCAGTCTCAGCGTTGTCTTCATTTCTCTTACCCTCTGACTCTTTATCTTCCGTCCCAGATTTTTCATCATCTTTCTTTGTCTCAGCATCTATCTCCATTTTCTCAGGTTCAGCCATATCCTCCTCTTTCGAAAGTTCTTGTGTTTTCTTACCTCCAGCATTCTCCTCCTCCTTTTTTCCAGCCATAGCATCTGATGGCTTTTCAAGAGAACAAGTCTTGTTTGCAGTTGGCTCAACGGTTGCCTGTGTATCTTCCCCCATATTAAAGACCAGTTCAGTAGATCCTTCCACTAAAAACACTTCTTGATGTAATCAAAGGCTGTTCATAAGAAATCAGTTCAGAGGATTATATTGCTGCAACAGCAGAAATTTAGGTTCTCAATCAAGAAACTTAACATCTGCAGAACTGAAACCAAACCCAAAGAGTAGCAAAAAAGGAATTCAACCTAATAAATGTGAATCGCATTGACTTCAAACTGGCATATATGCAAAAAGAACTGACTCCATCAAAACAAAATCCAAATCTTAGGCGGTCAACAATAAGAGAAATTTAATTTAGATCTCATTCTGATCGATAATTATCTGTTATACTCACTTTAGATCTTAAACAAGAAGAATTAAATGGAAAATCTGATTGGAGGATTCCAGATTTTGCAAGAGTTTAGAAATCAAATCATTAAGAAACCAAATCTCAAATCTCAAAGGTTCATCATTTATCCTCACTTCCCATACATTCTGGAGAAACAAAGATCCAGATGAATAAATGAAACCAAAAACCACGCTATAACTGTGAGAACCCTCCTAAGCTTACACCACACAGATTCAGACAAAACACAAACCCATGTTTTTAACTTGAATCTCTCGAAATTTAAGTCAATCAACGTCAAATTCATGCACTTGTCCGATAACTTAATAGCACCAGATGGTAAAAAGACATCAAATTCTCAAAACATCGAAATTCACAGATAAAAGAAGCGCATGAGAAACCCTAACTTCTCATCGCAACTTTGACAAACGAACACAAAGAACACCAAACCAAAAAAGAGCATGCGAATTCTAAACCAAAGCTATAAACACAAAGTTCACGAAGATCTCAGCAGAGTTATCAACAGGGTTCGTAAAGCAGAAGACTTTGGAATCTCACCTCAGTATCACAACCCTCGGCACTGACTTCTTTTTTTCTCCTCCTCTGCTTACTTCTTCTTTTTTTCTTATGGAAACAGAAAAAAAATAGCTTTTGTTTTTCTTTTTAGGAGAGAGAAATTCGAAGGATTCGGACGCAAAACCGGATTTTAAATACAATTAATGCCACGTCAGATATGAGATGAATCACCACGGTCCAAGTTCATTGTCCGAAGAGACACCATCAACGGTCTAGATTTTATGTTTGATGCGTCTCGTGGATCGATGACGCTAGAATTTTTAAGCTACGTCCGGGTCCGAACCAGGTACCGAGCCAAGACCTTATAGGTATTATTAATTAAGGATTTCAATTTGGATCAAAAGCTTACACATTCCAGTGTTTTTAATCTATATTTTTATTTAAATTTGTACAGTTTTTCATTTTCAATATAAAAAATTAAAAACTGATTGAATAAAAAAAAATTTCAGTAAGTTTTCTATGATACGGTAATTTTATAAATAAAATGGTCATATAATAGCTGATAAAACATTATCACATAATAATTGAGATAAAGGTTTTAAATTAATGCTACTTTTTTCTAACTTTCTTTTAGTATGCTAAATTAATACGATTGACCAAATTATTAAAACAAAACCCTTGGTAACATATGTTATATGTGGCCATTTGTAATTATTTTGGTAATAGCTCTGATTTGCTAGTAGAGAAGAAGATTTGATTTAAGTTTTTGTGAATTTTAAAGATAATCGTTAATTTCATAGAGGGAAATTTGTTTTCCTTATACTTACGATTTAGAAGAATGTGATATTTAGCCTCTAACAACAAAAAATATGACTCTAAATATGAATAATAAACTTCAATTTACATCTAAGAAACTGGATATCCACATTAAAAAAAAGTAAACATATCAACCTTTTTACTCATGATGTAAATACAACTTCTTAATGATGACAAAAATTGTAATTGTCAATCTACTTCCTGCGCAAATCTCTAAGTTGGTAAATCACCTAGTGGTCGTATTTATAAGTCACTTTTATGTGTTTTTGACAAATGTAGAATTATAAATTGTGAAATTATGATTGAAGAACGGGCAACAGTTGTCTTTGTCTGCTTGAGGACCACGCAGCTTAATGACAGTCGCAGACATGATAGGTAGCTTTTGTCCATAAGAACGAGAGAACTAGATATGCCAAAATGTGAAGGATTATGACTTTGTTCAACCTGGATTAAAAAAACACAACAGCTTGAATTGTCTGGAACTGAGTTTCTTCCATGGAACTTATCAAATTACGGACAAATAGATAGTTTGTAGTAATACTGCTGTTTTTTTGATTAAATAAAAACATTTGCATCTTGTAGTGTATATTTTTTTACAACACAATGTTGGAACTCAATACAGGTGACAAAAACAAATATATATATATGGCGGAGGTAGTTTGAATCAAGATCGGCTCTCTGTTGAGATATAGGAATTTATATATTCCTAACCTAAGAAGAATCCCATACATGCTATTGCTTTACGGACCTGATTGTATTCTCCCTATGTTGGGGGGATATGGGTAAGATGAATGGTTCAAGGACGAGATGTCACCATTTTGAGTCTCGTTCTTAGTTTCTCTCGGGCCATACTGATTCATGCCGCTATTTAAGCTGGCATAGTAGGATGGCATGGGACTAGCGTGAACAAACCTGAAATTGACTCCATTTGGGTGGCTTTGGTTGACAAGTTGTTGATTCTGATGCTGATGCTCGTTGGAAGTGTGGTTAGGTCCATCAGATGAGATTCCAACACCAAGATTGAGGCTGATGGTGTCTGTTTCATCTGGTCTAAACCTAGGCTGGATGTCATGATTGCTGCTAGACTTTGAAGTGGGAACATCGTGATTGTGTTTGCCTTCATATGTTGTTATTACAGCTTTTGGATCATGTGATGCCCTCTCCACATGTTTTCTCACTGGGCACCCAGCAGCTGTGCATTTGTAATAGCTCCTACAAAAGGTCGAGGCACATCATAAAACATATATCTCCATTACACACATGTTGAGGTCACTAATATTTCATATTCCAAACCCAATACCCAAAAGAACCAATGCACAAAGCAAATAACTAGCTACCATCTTGAGCTGCAACTTATGCTTGTGTCCAGCATAATAAGAGATTTGTTGGGGGATATTTTGTAGAAGTTTAGTGGTTGTACAAACCTGGGATTTGGGTTTCCCCTTACGACTTTCTGCCCATATTTACGCCACCTATAACCATCATCCAGTATGTCAACCTCACTCAGAGTTTGAACAACAACCCGAGGCTCTCGGATGGGTTTCACAAGTGGAGTTATTTCCATCACCCCATCCATCCTCCTGCATAAAGTTACAAGAAAGTTACTATCATGTCAAATCACAGATTCAAAGCAATCACCTGAATCGTTTGTTAAAATCCAATACCTCCGTTTTGAGAATGGATCATCATCTTCTGGGTCATCTTTATTCTTATTTGACGCTGCAGCCTCTCCACCATCATCAGTTGTTGTGGTGTGAGGTATTTCAGGGTTACCAGCTTGCTCATTGGGGTGAGACACGTTGTAGACCCCAGATCCCTTCTCTGTATGCAGACATAAAGGGTAGAAGGAACAAGTTATAGATATTGTCAAGAGAGCAAGTGCAATTCTGACTCAAGTTTTAGATTTGGTTACCATCTCGACCAGTTGAAGAAGGATACTTGTCTAGCCTTTCTTCTTGTGCAGCCATACCAAGACCACCAGAGTTTCGGCGACCAGGTTGAGGTTTAGGATGATCATGTGTACCCTTGTATATAATATCAGTGATCTGCCCATCATGAGATCTTTCAAATAACTTTTTCACTTCACAATTAGGATGTGTACACTTATAATAACTCCGGGGAAATTCACTCCCTTTGACATGCTTTTGACCATATTTTCTCCAGTTATAACCATCATCAGCCAAGATCGATGGCGTGCTTCCTCGGGAGTCATTCTGGGAAGTCTGGATTGATTCATCTTGATCCGATCCAGCCAGAATATCTGAGCTCGTTGATGTCATCTGACGAGGAGGAGTTGGCCGGCTTAACTCACTTGAGGAACCTGCAGCATCACTGATCGAAGAAGGTGAGTGTGAGGATCCATGGCCCTGGCCTTGAAATTGTAAAGGTGGCTCACTTCTATGCTTGCCAACTTCTGCGTAAACCTTGAAATCAATAAAGATGTTTAGACAAAGTCATCACCCAATATACAAAACAAAAAATAGGAACTGTAAGCTTTTGGATACAAGGCTCCTTATGAAACGAATTTAAGACTGGCATGCTATTATAAGTATGCAAAAGGAGAAAAAATTAACATGTTGTCCACTCTTTGAACAGTACATTACATGCTAGGCATAAAAAACAGCATTGTTTTGGACAGTACCATATTGGATGCAGGAGGTCTGAACTCAAACTCACTGGACTTCTGCTCAGTAAAGGTGTTCTGATGGAACGCTCTGCCTGTATAAGAACTTGGGCTAGCAGAAATGTGCACTGGTCGAGGCTTGAACAAAGAACCAGTAGTAGGAGAAGGTTCTGGCTGAAAGTTAAAAGAAAGTTGGCATAGTATCAATGGCATGAATTAAACATAATACATATCAAACAAAGTAAAACCTGAACCTGATCTATTAATAAACAGGCTGTTTTAAAAAAGACCAGTCTTCTAGAACCAAAAAAAAAAAAAAAAAGACAATTTATTGCTCAATCAAGGAATAAAAAGGTGTAACTAAGAGCATAGCATAAAACCTATTATTCGTCACTTTGATATCTGAACATAAAGTTAAGCTAAACCCACAAAAACGATTACTCTATAGCTCTCAAATGTTGAACATTCAGAGTAAAGTACTTTTTCTCACCAACATAATCATTAAGCAAATGGAATTCCTAGACAGCTAGCAAAACCCCAATTTACAAAGAAAGTTAAAAAAAGGGAAGAGCATCACTAACACAAGCAAGATGGACAGTATGAAGAAGAAACGACAAAGAGGAAGAAGATATATATAAACAATCCAGCAGCAATAGAACAATATTTTTTTTTAATTTTAAAAAGAGTTTATTCCAGAGAACAATCTGAACGGACACAAATGCAAACCAATGCAGAATATAGTAACAAGAAGAATAAGAATCTGAGCCAAAGTCCCTACAACGTAAGCAAAGTTATCATAGTTTTAAAATCAGTTGTAAGGGATTAAGAAACAAAAATGGAAACTCAAGTCCAATGTATTTCCTTGTGAGCAAGCAGAAAGCATCTAGGCCAAATTATAGGACCCAATTTAAGTAAATCCCAGAAAATTCCCCACTACGGAACACTACAAGTATCGTTGCTCCACCAATTCAACTTCAACTTCAACATGAACAGTAATCCGAATCAGAGTTGAAGCAACCAGAAACCGAACAAGTGGGACAAAAATGTCAAATCGTTTACGATTGAATCCAATTCCAAACCAAGTTGCAACATGGCACAATCCAATTTAACGAACAAAAAAAAATGAAATCAATTTAGGTCTTAGAAATGAAATCAGAAAACCTAATTTCTCAAATCGACACCACAAATGAGAAAGAAGAAGCTCTGATATGTACCACATTAGAAGAAGAAGAAGAAGAAGAGAGCAGAGTAGTAGGTGATGTACCTTGATATTGGAGATGAAAACAGGAGATTCCAAAAACGAAGTGGGACTCAACCCAGGAGGAATCGTGATGTCAGCATTCGACCTCGAGATCGGAAGCATCGCCGGTGACATCAGCTTGTACCTCGCACCTCCTCCTCCGCCAGATGAATCGTGCCTTGCCGTGAGATCTCCCGCCGCAGAACTATCGACTTGAAACTCCTTCCGGCCATTAGCTTGAGGGTTCATTTCAGAGGGATTTCCCAAAAGGTGGAAGAATGAAGCAAGTAAAGGGATAGGGGAAGGAGAAGAAGCTCTCTCACAGCTATGGCGTATTGAGAGCTTTATTAGCTCTCTGTGTATCTCTGCTGCGTCTGTGAAGATTATTATCAGTGAAAGAAGAAAGAAATTGACTTCACACCACTCTCTCAATTTCTTTTGTTTTTCCCCTTTCTTCTTTATTTTATTTATTTTTTTATTTTGCCTTTTAGTATTTTTGGTTTGATCAATTTGTAAAAGCAACAACAAGAAACGTTAAAAGTTGACAAAAACAAAAGGAAAACAAGAAGCAACAAACAAACCTTTGCTTAAATATACTTTTGATAAATCAATTTTGTTTTTAACAAATTTTATTCTCATATAGGAGGAGTAAGAAGACGTTTGTCAAAATTTGAAGAAAACCAGAAAAGTGTAAGAGAAACATAGGAATTTTATCCAAATGAGAGAGACATAAAAACAAAGGTTTACTTTTGTCTATTCAAATATGTATATAGATTAGCGTAATGAGATTGTTTGTAGAGAGCTGTCGGAACCAGAAGAAAAGATCCTAAGTAGCTATTTAGAGAGTGCATTGTTGTGTATATCGATTGAATCTATGTATCAGCCTTACTTGCGTTTTTCAGTCAGAAGCGAGCATTGGTTTGCAAGGCTCAGGGAGGGTATTGTAAATCGTATCATCAACTATCAACATCCCATGGTTATCAATTATCATGTGTGTGTGAAGGTTGGGGCCGTTCTATAGATTTTTTGTTTTTTGTTTTTGGTTATCGTTGGATTAAATGGGCCTAGGTCCTTTAAGTCAAATTATATGGGCCATAAGTTCTATTACTTTACTAAATCAATAATGTGGGGGGGGGGGAGGGGAATTTTATAAATCGAAATACTGTACTGTATATAAAATATATTATTAAAAATTTTAAACTACATATTGTTGGTTTTATCAAGTTGTGGGGTAAGTGGTTGTGTTCTAATTGCGTGGATAACAGTTAGGATTTATAATGGTGACATTCTGTATCCAAGTTGGTCCACCTCTCTATATCTTGTTATAGAATTTTTCAAATATATATATTCATATGAAAATTTCATGTTTCTTCGGTTGTAAAATTCTCAAGAATGCGTAAAAAAAAAAAGATAAGAAGAAACAAACTAACTAAAAACAGAAATTATATGTGCTATGGTGTACCTCACCTCCCATCACTCCTCATTCAGTGTCCTTTCTGAATTAAAAGTTTCAAACTATGAACTTGTTTGTCTCTAGGCTCTAGCCATTTCATTTTTTAAAACGTTTTTGACAGAATAAAAAACTTTATATCATGATTATTTGAAAATATGTGATGTATTAAGTTTTTAGAGTTGCAAAATCACTCGTATTTTGTTTTTATTACGTTCTTACATATTATTTTTATTTTGTTTTTAATCCGTTCTTACATATTATCTTTAATCTATAAGAAAAAAATTAAGAAAAAATAGACATTTATTTATTTTATTTTGGTAAATTAAATAAATAAATAAAATTATACAATAATCTAGAAAGGGAGAAAGATTGCATAGAAAAATTCAAAGTTATAAAAAAGGTGTTTGTCCCCTTCGCATAACCACACTATCATTATAATTTTTATCAAACATTTGACCAAGAAAAGGTGTTTTCGGTTTCTACTTTCAATATGTATTTTTAAGTTTGGTGGTTGATAATGTACTTCGGATTTTTCTAATTACTTCTACTTTATTTCCAGCATTTGGATTTTGAATTTATTTAAGTTCACGAGGTATGGTTGTGTGATCTTTCTTTCTACTCGAGTGCTAAATAAAGGGAAGGGCTTTTTTTTTTTTTTGAACAAAGAAAGTGCGAGGTAAAGATGAAAAGGACTTTGAAAAGGGAAGGGCTTTTTAGGAGTGAATTCTACCTCTTCAATCTAAAGAAAGTGCTTCAAAATCTCCTTCTTTACATTATATGCATATGTTTGATAGATTAGTTAAGATTTTGGCTTATGGTTAGTTGCTTATACAAATGTATTAAGAGATGATGAACTTGGAAAAATAAGTATTACCTTCTTGGAGGGGAAATTACTACTTACTAGGAACAAATTACCTATATACAGTAAAACCTCTATAAATTAATACTCGATAAATTAATAATCTCTATAAATTAATAAATTTCTCCGGTCCCAAGTTGGGACAAGTGTAATTTTATACATATTTCGATATAATAATAAGATAATAATTTTTTAGAAAATCCTTTGTAAATATATGGTCCCATCAATATTATAAATTAATAATTAGGTAAAATTTTCAAAATAAATGTATATATAGACACATTAGTTTTTGTTAGATTTTATTTTTAATATTTTACTATATGAAAAATAGTTAGCATTCTCTTTTAATACATAATTATTATTATTTTATTTATAATTGAATATATAAAATACTAGTTATCATGATTAAATCTTATTTCTAAATATTGTTTTGAAAATATTTTCCAAATTAGGAATATCTCTCTATAAATTAATAATTATTAATTTATCGATAAATTAATACCCTATAAATTAATAGATTTCCATGGTCCCAACATTATTAATTTATAGAGGTTTTACTGTATCTCTAATGAGATCAATGAGGAGATCATCGAATACCACATAGTATTTAATTAAATATAATTTTGGCCGGCTACATATTAATTAATGGATATAATAATGTAACCCTTGGATACTCATAAACATCATTACGCCCAATTACAAAACATTTGGTTCGGCTTTTGCCTCTGCACAAGACAAGGCTCAGCTGTCTAAAAGGATCCTAATTATATAGAAAACTATATATGAGAGGATGGAAAAATTAAACACCACATAACAGAATATTTCTGCCCTTATAGGAAAAAATAAAATGTCAATGGAACAGAATATTAAAATGAGTAAATTTGATGCAAACAAAATAATATTTTTATTTTCATGTAGGGCATATGATTCTATCTTTGTGATATTAAAAAGATAGTATCGAGTACCCAAAATATATATTTTTTATATGTCAACGTAGACATATCAAATGTGAAAAAATCGTTGACATAAAAATATTCTGATAATGGGTTTCCTTGCAATATATTCTTATCGTAGGTATTATTATTGTATAATGATATTGTTAATATAAGAAAATGAAAGAAAAGTTGTTAATAGAAAGCGTATAATATGTGTAATGTGTTTGTGGGTTCGCATATATAGATACTAGAAGACAAGTCACCAAACGAACATGTGATCATTTTGGATCATCGTTGTGGTGAATTTTTCGGAAATGATCTAACGCTACTTGAGTTCGTATTTGATGTCATTTGCTCTCTTGGCCATTCATCCACCAGGATTGGATAACATAACCACACACTACATATTGGCTAGTGTTAAGAAGAATTCAAGTAGAACATAGTATTATATGTTAAGCTGTTCTTGCTTCTGTAAATATCAGGTTTAACCATCTCATAAATTGAATCAAATTAAAAGACCAAAAACTAAGATAAAAATGTGATAGTAAGTATTTTTTCTATGTTAAACTAAAGATAAACAATTAGTGATTCATCTAAATCATCATATTACACGCAGCATTAGATAATTGTAGATATTTTAATTAAGAAAATATGTAGCTATATTTCTATTGTTTCTTACATTGATAAAAGTAAAGATATTTTAACGTTTTGTAAAATCATTTTCAACATTTTTAGATAGTGACTGAATTAATATTTGCAATTATATATTTTGGTCTTCTATAAGTTTCATAAACACATATTATTTGCTTAAAGTCATATTATGACACGTTGATGCCACAAATATAAATCATTAAACTACAAATTATGTTTAGAAAAATCTTTCAATTTTAAAAGTGGATTACATAAAACTAAATATATGAATAAAGTTGAAACTTAGTTTGTTTCCAAAGCAAGGAATAATGTGCTAAGGATTTAGTAAACATGCTTATGCTAATTCTTCTTTACTTAATCATGTTCTTTAAATAAAACAAAATGCATTTCTATGGTTAGAGCAAATTCCATTATTTGTATAATATAGTTTCTATAAAAAAAAATCCTAAACAGTTTTATTTAAACACATATCAAATAAGTTTTATTTTATTTCTGAAAGCTGATGTTAGCATTTAGAAAAATGGTTCTGCTGACATTTGACATCTAATAATTGTTTTTTTTTTGTGACTTGAATTTTAATTCTTCTTTTCAGATTCGCCACTATTAATACGTTTGGGTTTTTTTTCTCTCTAATTAATATATTTAGAAATGAGTTAAAACCAATGTAGGAAAGGTAAAATCTTCGTAAATAAAGTATTATTGCTTAGAAAGGAAATTACTGAGATTAATATATTTGTGGGAAAATTATTAAAATAAAAATTAAAATGGAAAAAGAGGTTATCATCATCTTCCATCACCTGTTGTCTTAAGGGCCTCCCTCTCTAACAACCCTAAAAATAAGATTCGTATTACACCAAAAGAGAGAGTTGTAAATCTCAAATTCTTCTTCCCCCCTCCCACCACATCCCCTATTATTATATGTGACTGTTGTTCTTCTCTCTTTTTACCATCTTTGGCCTCAAGAGAAAAAAGGAATCCTTCTTAATGGATTTGGTAAATAAAATTAACAAGGCATTACACAAAATAAAAAGGAAAGGTTTTTAATAAGCTTTGAGATATAGAAAGAGAGAGAGAGAGAGAGAGAGAGAGAGAGAGAGAGAGAGAGAGAGAGAGAGAGAGAGGACATATTGATAAGAGAAGGAGAACGAGAGAAAGAGAGAGACAGAGAGAGAGAGAGTGGATGTCTTATAGAATGAACAAAACATCCTCTGTTTCTCTTGTCCTTGTCCCTTTTTTCAGATCTTAAGGTTCTTCCCACATTTTATCATCATCATCTGGGTCCTCTCCAAAATGGTGAATTTCCCATCTCCACACAAGTTTTGATGTTTTTGTTCAAATCTGGCGTTTTTTTTTTATTACTGTCTTTTGCCCATTTTGCCGTTTCTCTTCTCATTGATTTGTTTCTGTTTCACTTACTACTTTGTTTGAGGATTTATATATATATATATATATATATATATGTCTTTCTGGGTTTATTAAAAATCCTTTTTTTCTTTTTTTGATTGGATGCTTTGATGATCCCTTGTCAGATTTGAAGATACTCAATTCCTATTTGATCGGGACTAGAAATTTGGATTCTGTTTCAGACAGAAGTTGATTTCCTTGTCTCTTTTCCGTTTGATTTTTCCATTTTCGCGTTCAAGACTTCTCTGATAAGATGAATCTGGAGGTACAACTTGAACAGTTCATCATAATCTCAGAACTTGAGCTCTTTTTTGAATCTTAAAACACGATCCTTGTATAAAAACAGATTCGTTCAATAGTTGAATTGTTAGATGAAGACCGTCATTTTTCGCAAATCTGATCCGTGTTTTGTAAGATCGGATTCATGGATCGTGTTTGGTTTTTGCAGGAGCAAAAGATGGAATCGGGATCGGATCTGGGAAAGCTCTTCATTGGCGGGATTTCATGGGATACAGATGAAGAACGACTGAGAGAGTATTTTGGCAAGTATGGAGATTTGGTTGAAGCTGTGATCATGAGAGACCGTACCACTGGACGTGCTCGTGGCTTTGGGTTTATCGTCTTTGCAGATCCTTCTGTTGCAGAGAGAGTGATCATGGAGAAACACATCATTGATGGCCGCACGGTTTGTAATCTTAGATCCTTCTAAAGTCTCCATCTTTTTGTGATTATTTTCTCTTAGAGATCTTATGGTGTGTCTAATCATGAATTATCCTCCATTGATGAGTCTTGAGCAATGGATTGTTCTATCCTTTCGATCTTTCTGTATTGAGTCTTAGACAGCAAACTGAGCAAAGTTTAGATCTTTATGTAATCATGCTCTTTTAAAAAACTTCTATTGTCTTTAACTTCTGGATTTGCTGTTTCTGTTATAACTTAGTGAGAATTTGTTGTTGCTTTGTTGAAGTGGCAATGTTAGTGTTAGATCAATGAAAAAAGAATGAAGAATAACCCTTATGTCTTTTGTTGCAGGTCGAGGCGAAGAAAGCTGTCCCTCGAGATGATCAGCAAGTGCTAAAACGGCATGCCAGTCCAATGCACCTTATCTCACCCAGCCATGGTGGTAATGGTGGCAGCGCACGAACAAAGAAGATCTTTGTTGGAGGTTTACCATCTAGCATTACTGAGGCCGAGTTCAAGAACTACTTTGATCAGTTTGGTACAATTGCTGATGTTGTGGTAATGTATGATCATAATACACAGAGGCCAAGAGGCTTTGGCTTCATCACCTTTGATGCCGAAGAGTCCGTTGATATGGTTCTCCACAAGACCTTCCATGAGTTAAACGGAAAAATGGTTGAGGTCAAACGAGCAGTGCCAAAGGAGCTCTCCTCGACTCCTCCTAACCGAAGCCCGCTTCTTGGGTATGGTAACAACTATGGAGTGGTCCCTAACAGGTCATCTGCTAATAGCTACTTCAATAGTTTCCCTCCTGGTTACAACAACAATAATCTAGGCTCTGCTGGCCGGTTTAGTCCTATTGGTAGCGGTAGAAATGCTTTCTCTAGCTTTGGGCTCGGTTTAAATCAAGAACTGAATTTGAATTCAAACTTTGATGGAAACACTCTTGGGTATAGCCGGATCCCAGGCAACCAATACTTCACCAGTGCTTCACCAAACCGTTACAACTCTCCAATTGGGTACAACAGAGGTGACTCTGCTTACAACCCGAGCAACAGAGACTTGTGGGGAAACAGAAGTGATTCTCTTGGTCCCAGTTGGAACTTGGGAGTATCAGCTGGTAACAACAGAGGAAACTGGGGACTTTCTTCTGTGGGGAGCGATACAAATGGCTATGGAAGAAGCTATGGGATGGGTTCTGGACTTTCTGGGTTATCATTTTCGGGTAATACAAATGGTTTTGATGGCTCTATAGGGGAATTGTATAGAGGCAGCTCGGTTTACAGCGACTCAACGTGGCAGCAGTCAGTGCCTCATAATCAGTCTTCTAATGAGTTAGACGGCTTGTCTCGCTCTTATGGCTTTGGTATTGACCATATAGGCTCAGACCAATCTGCCAATGCCTCAGAAGGTTACCCCGGAAACTACAATGTCGGAAATAGACAAACAAATAGAGGTACACTCATCGATATAGATACTTTTATTTTTCCATTGCATCTCATCTGATACATTTAACATCAAGTTGAAAAGTGATCAGATTGATTAACGTTTTCAGGTATTGAAGCATAGAGAAAATCGACGAAAAGAAATGAGATATGTAGATCAAGAACAGCCAGTTTCTGTTGCAGAGTTTGAAGAGTTGTTGTTATTCGATATCAAGTAGAGAAAGAATCCAACTTTCTTCATCACAGTGAGTTTCTTGTTTTGTTTTTTTCGTCGTTAGCATCACAAACACAAAAAGAGAAGTTTTTTACTTTATAAAATTCTTACATAAGATAAGATAAGATCAGATTGGTAGCTGCAAAGATACAACATGGGTGGTTAAAAAGGATTTGGTTTCAGCGTTTCGTCTCCATAGCAATAACCAGAGATCGTTGATTCTCGATCACTATTCTTTAGGTTTCTCTTCTTCTTCCTCCCAAGATTCATGATGTTGTGTGCTCTGTTTGTAACTCTAATTGTTAATTTTTTTTCCTTACAGATTTTTCTTTTCTTATTTTGGTTTAAACTTTGGATTCGAAATTGTTCATGGGAACTTTTGGATTTATTACTTTTTCCTTTTCGATTAGCTTGAGAGAAAATCATTTGTGCAAAAGGCTCCAAAATGATTATTCTGTGGCATTTGATATGTTTTACTTTGATTTCCTTTTCCTCGTCTGACTATTTGTTAAGCATACATACAGTTTGTGGTTTGGTAGTAAGCCATTGGATCAAGACTTTGAGAAAGTTTGAATTCTTTGACTTAACCAAAACAAAATGGACACAGGAAGAAGAAGTGATAAATCCCACAATATGATTACAGTATGGACACTTTTTTTTTACTCAGAACACCAACACTAGTTCTACATGATTAAATTAGGATTATTATTAGTATGTAGTTTGGTATGAACTAGTAAAACAAAAAATACTTAGAAGAAAGTTTGAAGCTACCACAACTATATTTGTATTATCATACCATAAAAACTAGTGTAGGGGCAATATCTTTAAAATAATAAATAAGTTTTTCAGCCTAAGCAACATCTTCATTAATAACGTTTTTCTTTTTTTATTTGTATTTTCTTCTTTTAAAAATGTAAAAATATGTAAAAAGACAAATAAAATAAAAACAAGAGAAAAAGAAAATTCAAATTCCCAACGTTCGAATCGAAATTATTTCAGACAATTCAAAAAGCCGCTCTCAGTCTCATTCTCTCTTACAACACATTTCAGATCTCTCTCGCTTCTCTCACTCTCTCACTCTCTGAAAGACATGAAGTCTCCAGCGATATTAAGCGAGAACAGGTTCTTAGGCAGCATTACAAGTTCTTCCATCCGAAACTTGCTTCCAAAATCCATCTCAGCAAAGCAGAAACCAATCCAAAACCCAGAAATTAAGATCCCCAGATCCAACGACGAGAACGTGATTCCTGTACATCCAAACAAACAGGCTGATGATCAGTTCACGAAGCAGACCCTAGCAAATCTCGGAGAGCTTATTGAGGTACTTCGTGAAAAGCTTAAAACTTTCTAAGTTACTTCATTTTGGTTTCACGCCTTTCGATTTCATGTTTTTTTTTTGGTTGCTTTGTAGTCGCTCAACCATGTTTGATGTCATCTGTGCTAGTGTTAGATTAGATATCAACTAATTACTGAGAGACCCTTTGGAAACTTTAAACAGGACAATAAAATGGGACAAAGCGGTTTTGCCGAAGACAAGCAATGTCTTGTGAATTCACCAGTGAAGGTTGTAGCCACAAGTGTACTTTCTAGAAGAACCAATTCAATGCCTAGAGAAATTACAGAGGAAGATGACGACCCCTTGGGTGACCAGATTCGAGAGCTGAAGGTTTTTGCTTTTGTTACTGTCACATAGCTACAAGTATCTACATATCTGATGTGAGTTTGTTTGTATATACTGACATTGAGGTATCAACATTTTGTAATTTTGGTTACAGGAAGAGCTTATAAGAACAAAGTCTGATGGGTACAAACCTCATGCAAGTAAGAATGGACACTTTGCAAGGGACAGCTTGAGTCAATTGAGAGTTAGTATCAACAAATCTTTACTCATGTCTTGCCCAAGAAAAGATGAATCTGAGGGGCAAGAGATGAATGTGGATGGTGATGATGTGCTGGAGTTGAATCAACATATTGACAAGTTTCATGGTTCTTTTGATTCTGTCCACTCCTCATTTGCAAGTGCTTCATGCTATGAGGCAGAGTCGATGAGTGAGGAGGATGATGATGTCTGTTCAGAAGAACTGGAGAATCCCAAGCATGGAAACCATAAAGATGCTGACTTTGTAGATGATGCTCCAAGCGAGCTCGACAATGTTGGATTCTGTGCAGCCGGTAGTGGCATTGCAATCAGATCACAGCTTCCTACATGTATTCTAGAAGAGCCGATTTTCTCAGAATCACCTAAGTTTAAGAATGTCCAGAAAAGCGTGGCTGCATCGACCAAGTTTTCAGCAAGTCCTCGGAATGTGTCTGACAGTTCCACCATTGGTAACATGAAAGTCAATCAAGTTAGCCCTTCTATGTCAAATAAACTTTCAGGTCCTACAGATTCTCTAGCTGCTAGTCTTCAGAGAGGACTGCAAATTATAGACTATCATCAAGGGAGCTCACTATCAAAAAGTTCTTCTGTTTCCTTCTCTTTTGGCCATATGGCATTGAAACCCTGCGCAGAAGCTGACAATCTTAATGCTTCAGTCCAATCTTTTAGAAAAGACAAAGCTCCAGAAGGTGGATTATCGTCGATTCCCCTATGTCTTTCATGTAAACAGAAAGTTGAACAAGAAGCTGAAGTAAGTTTACAAAACCTGAGATTTTTTCCCACATTCACTATAACATTAGTATTTGGTAAATATACTTGGCAACTTATTTTATATTCTCTCCTATATAAGGTAAGAGAAGCTGGTTCGAATGAAAAACATCTCAAGAACATGTGTATAGAGCAAGCAGCTAAAATTGAGGAGCTAACTCGCTTGGTAAGAACCTTGTAAACCTATGAAAATATTCAGGACCAATATACAACAAAGCTATGGAGGATCCTGTGAAGCTACCAGTTGATTGTCATTGATAACTTTTGACAAAAATGGAAATCTAAACTGAATAAACTATGTTCTGGCTTTTTAACAGCTTAGGAAATCTGGTGATGGGGAAGATGGAATCGAGGTCATCAAAGAAACATATGAGAAAAAACAAGTTAGCCAAGAGTTTCGAAAAACAAACTTTGATGTAAGCGAAAAGGAATCTCTTCTCAAAGAAATTGCAGACCTAAAGAGCAAGCTACAACCTACTAACTCTACAGACAATCTGAGATCCTCGTTGCTACTACGGTCCATTCAAATGCGCAAAAGCATTGATGTTACCAAGATTGGTGAGAACAGTGATGTTCTAGCGAAAGAAAGGGAGATGTGGACAGAAATGGAGAGCGAGTGGATATCCTTAACAGATGATCTCAGAATGGATATCGATTGCCATCGTAGTCGCGCTGAGAATCTTGAGATTGAGCTGAACCAAGAGAAGTTAGCCACTGAAGAGTTGAATGACGCACTCACTAGAGCTATGCTTGGCCACAGTAGATTCATAGAGCAGTACACAGAGCTGCAGGAGAAGTACAATGAACTTGGGGAGAAGCACAGTGTGATGATGGCTGGAATAACAGATGTAAAGAAGGCAGCATCCAAGGCCGCTATGAATGGTCGCCATGGCAAGCGTTTTGCCAAAGCCTTTTCAGCTGAGCTTTCAGCCATCAGAGCTGAGAAGGAGAAAGAAAGAGAGATCTTGAAGAAGGAGAACAGGAGCCTAAGAACTCAGGTTCAGGATACAGCTGAAGCTGTCCAAGCTGCTGGTGAACTACTTGTCAGACTCAGGGAATCTGAACAAGCCTTACAAGTCTCTGAGGTAACTAGACAAAACTCTTGCCCAGTTGATATTGGACCATAAAAAAGAACTTTACTTATGCTTCTTGTTTGAAAAACTTGGTATTACTAAATGGCTCAACTTGAACTCCTGAAACCATCATTGCAGGAACGATTCAACGTGGTGGAAGAAGAGAAAGAGGGGCTGAAGAAGCAAATGGAACAGCTAAAGAGCAAACACAAGACAGAAATAGGGATAATGAAGCAATACTTAGCAGAGAGTAAATTACCAGGGTCAGCATTGTTGCAGCCATGGTACAAGGATGAGGAGAATGAAATAGAACAAGTATCAGAGCATGAAACAGAAGGTGTAAGTTTCGATGACTACGATGATGATCAGGCTTGGAGAGCAGAGTTCGGAGCTACATATCAAGACCACCATTACTGATTGCTTCAAGACAAAAGACCCTTCTCGGGTCATTTACTATATGATCCTAATAAGTACTCTTATCATTTTTTGCTTACTTGTGTCCTGCTTTTACCATGTTGTATCTGCCATTATTGAACCGCTTAAAAACATCTGTAACGGCTTTACATGTATTTGATTGATTCATCTTTTCCTGGAAAATGTACAACGCAGTAAATTATACAGCTCCCTGTGTCATTACGTTATTGGGCTCATTTAAGAGCCCAATTCTCAGCCGCTGAAACCCAAACGTCGTCGTATCTGTATCGTCGTCTTCTGGGAAAATAATTTATGATAGTTTTTGTCTTCTTCCTAATTTCATAACACAGTGAGTGAGTCTATCTATCAACTTGGGGAAAAAGGATATTTTCTAGATTAGGTAGAGGAGACAGAAAAGTACCTTCTTCTTTCATTCAGGTTTCAACTTCTTTAGCTATGGCTGCCGATGATTCTTCAAATGCTATTGACATCAAAGGGAACCTGGACTCCGATTCCAACCTTAACACTGACGGTGACGAAGCGTCCGATAACGATTCCGCAAAGGCATTGGCTACTATCCCTGCTCCCGCCGTTTGTCTTTTCCGGTTCGCTGGAGATGCTGCTGGTGGCGCTGTCATGGGTTCTATCTTCGGATACGGTGCTCGCTCTTCTTCTTCCTCCTTCTATCTCTTCTATGCCTGATTTAAAAAAATCTGATGTGTGCTTTACTCTCTCATAGTGTGAATTGAGAATTATTGGGGAATTTGGATTTTAGTACTCTTTTCTTCATTTAATTTGATTTCAAAATTCTTGGATTAGGCTTTGAGCAACCTCTTGAGAGTTATTATTATTTATAGAATTAATGTAATAATTTAGATTTAGGGGATTGAACATTCCTCAAGTTTGATTTTGTTTTTGCTGGTGGGGAAGCTATAGGATTAAGTTAGCTTGGTTTTCGTTGTAGAGTGTCAAATGTGATAAGATTGGCTGCTTGGAAGCTTTTGGAAATATGATGATTGAATTGTTAAACATTGTCATGTTTTGGTTCTTCAGGTTCAGGATTGTTCAAGAAGAAAGGCTTTAAAGGATCATTTGCAGATGCAGGGCAGTCTGCAAAGGTACACTTCATCTTTACGCTTTTGCATTTATATATATATGTATGCTCTTCCAAGAAACTGAGTCCATAGTTTGCTTCTTCTTGTTTTTTTCTTGAACAAGACTTTTGCTGTTTTATCTGGAGTCCATAGTTTGGTTGTTTGCCTTCTGAAGCAAGTGCGAGGGAAAGATGATGGTGATACTTCAGTTCTCTTCCTCCACTTTAAGTGTTAAGTTATTACTTACATGAATTTGTAATGCCTCTGTTGCTGCTATTGTTCTTGTTTTGCAGCCATTAATGTTGGAGTTGCTGGGTGCTGCACTGGTCTTGCTCTTAGTTTCCCCGGTAATTCAAAATCCATCATTCTCATCGTCTTTTTTTCTTCTAATTTGACAATGGGTGTCATAAAATGACTGATCCTGCAAGCAATTCAGAATCATACAAGTACTTTTTGTCCTCCTGGCATAAAAGAGAGCTAACCAGTTCCTTTATGGTCTGTGTTGCAGGTGCTCCACAGGCCCTTCTACAAAGTTGTCTCACTTTTGGGGCATTCTCTTTTATCCTTGAGGGACTCAACAAGAGACAAACCGCTATGGCGCATTCGGTCTCGTTGAGACACCAAACCGGACACGTCCAAGATCATCATCGTCCTTTACCACTGTCTCTTGCTCTCCCGATCCATGAAGAAATCAAAGGAGCCTTCTCTTCTTTCTGCAAGTCCTTAGCTAAACCCAGGAAGTTCTGATTCTCCCTTTCTTGTGTCTTAGGTTTCTCTATCTGTAGATGTAAAATTTCCCGCTTTTGCTGTACTTTGTGAGTGAGGAATGTTTTATGAAAGGCTTTTTGCAACAGCCAGTTTGAAGAAAAAAAGAGTTGTGTACCTTTTGCTTTATCAGTACGATCTCTATTTACTGCTTTTAGAAAGAACAATTATAGTAAATTATCATCTTCATTTTAGTAAAGAATTATCACAATTTTCCCATGAAATATTAGGACCAAAAACTTTGTATCTAAATCCTGTTACAGTAACATATCATTTCTGTCAGAAATTGACATTGTTATTTACAAGGTGTTGACTGAAAAATCTGTAAGATCACAATTTTAAGACATTACCATAAGAAAATCTATCCCAAATCCATTTTGAGTTCAACGAATCTCTTCGGTTTTGACTAGAAACAAAAGGAACATCTTCGTTTCTATTTAAATACCAGTATTTTTGTTTGGCAGCACCAACAACAAGAAGCAAAGCAAAAGTATAAGCCATGGACAACTCTGCGTCTCATATGGTATTCTTCACATCATTACATCACCTCACACTGTATTTGTTATAGTTTTGTGATTTGATTGGCTCATTGGTTCTTCTTTTCAGTCTTGCGTTCTTAAGGTCAATATGCAAACCAGTGGATGGGAAAAAGCCATGCATAAGCTCATCAAGGACATCGGAGGTTTGTGTTTTTTTACTTTAAACCGATCTAACCAAAGTTTACAAACCCTTTTTGCATTTTTCAACTTAAATTAACATATTGTTTGTGTAGCTATATATATTGACTGACCATGTCTTTTATTTATTTGGTGCTAACAATTGTAAGATGTGACATACACCATCGATGCTGCCATGGGCATGGCATATGTCTCCGGTAGGATGGGCCCTGAGATCATCCTGAGGATTCGAAAGTGTAAGAAACATGTTCAGCTCATCCACATCAAGGACGGCCACAATGTGATTCCTAGATCTTCCTCTTATAACTTACCCACCATCACCGGTTTCAATCAGCCACAACCACCAACGCCAATGTTTCAGACGGAGGTGGAACCGTATATCCATTACGGCCTAATTCCGTACGAACATGAACAGCCTCAAGTGGCTTATCCTTATTTCTACCCCCATATCTAAATCTACTGATAGCAATATGTAATTTTGCAAGATGATTTCTAGCAAAATGCTAAAGTTTAATACTACAAAAGTGACAATGAGATGAGATGAGCTTTAGACTAGAGAGGTTAAAGTAAGACGCTCAAAGTATGCTTGTCTTTTGGGAGAAACAAAAATCTCATATAAATCTGAAATCACTTGCCTTGTTTCTGCCTGAGGCGTTCTTTGACAAAATCATTACGGGCTTTAGTGCGAGCTTGCTGGGGAGCAACGTTGAGATACGAAAAATGAATTCCAAGGGCGAAAAGAGCTGCCCCTGAGGCAAAAAACGCAACCGTCATCGCCAATTTTCTTGGAGACGATGGATAGCAAAAAGACATTCTCAATGCTGTCAACTCTTCGTTAACTACAAATTCAAGGATTATGATTTCAATTAAGATATAATGAATAATTAGGGAGAGAAACACTAGGCACAACACAATCACACAAGGGTGAAAGAGGAGAAACTTTCTTCAGAGACATTTCATCGAACAGTTTGTGTTCATTCTGTTTACTTTTCTTAAAAACCCAATTTTACGTAGCTATAATCACACGTTTATTGAAACAAGTTGGGTAGTATCCAAGCGAATACGTACCTCTTTTTTAGTTTGTACCATCCACAAGAGGGGAAGCCCCGAGTTTCACCCGCAAAAGAGACGTGCGGTACCACAGCACGAGGAGCATCCAAAGATCTTCAGAGTTCAGACAGCAGTTACTTTACGGACGTTCTGATAAATTTGGCGCACAAATACTGGATTTCTAATAAATCGAGTCTTAACGTATCACAATGGGGATGTAGCTCAGATGGTAGAGCGCTCGCTTAGCATGCGAGAGGTACGGGGATCGATACCCCGCATCTCCATTTATCTGTTTTGTAAGCCCCAATGGGCTTCATAAAAAGGCCTAAGGCCCTATTTCTACTATGTTGTTAATCTCACTATCATAAAAAGACCTTTCAATTTTGTATTTTTAAGTTCAACAGACCAAAAGTTGAGAGTTCCTTCTCCGGCGACGCCATTTCAGAAGTACCTTTCTCGCAGTCACAGCTAAGAAGATAAAAGGCTAGCAGCAATCTCTTATTGGAACCTTTTTTTTGTTTGTTTTGGGTATATATATATATATATATATATATACTGCTGCAACAGTCTCTGGTTAAACATATGCTTATGCTCTCTACACCAGGATGATCCGCATAAGCACCGGTGCTAATCGATTCTCAAGTTTTGCTGGTTCTGAAAAACCTAGGCTTTCTAAAAATCTCGGCGCTGCAAGCATCCCTATTCCTCACAGAAGGAACCCTGAACCTAAAGGCCAAGATCTCGATTTCGTCAATGTCGCTCATAGCCACCTGATCCAGTCTGATTGGGATAAGCTTAACAAGCTATCAGACCACTTGGATTCGTTCAGAGTCAAGAACATACTAGTGAAGATTCAGAAAGATTATCTTCTTTCTCTTGAGTTCTTCAATTGGGCCAAAACACGAAACCCAGATTCCCACTCTCTAGAAACCCATGCTATAGTCCTTCACACTCTCACTAAAAACCGCAAGTTCAAGTCTGCAGAGTCCATTTTGAGAGATGTACTCGTCAACGGTGCGGTGGATTTGCCTGCCAAAGTCTTTGAGGCCTTGTTGTATTCGTACAGGGAATGTGACTCTACCCCTCGAGTGTTTGATTCACTCTTCAAAACGTTTGCTCATTTGAAGAAATTCAGAGATGCCACTGATACCTTTATGCAGATGAAGGGTTACGGGTTTCTTCCAACTCTTGAATCTTGCAATGCTTACATGAGTTCACTACTTGGTCAAGGGAGGGTAGATATTGCTCTCAGCTTTTACCGGGAGATGCGGCGATGTAAGATATCGCCAAATACATACACTCTCAACATGGTTATGTCAGGCTATTGTAGGTCTGGCAAACTTGACAAGGGCATTGAGTTGCTACAAGACATGGAAAGACTGGGTTTTCGGGCCACGGATGTGTCGTATAATACATTGATAGCGGGGCACTGTGAAAATGGTCTTTTGAGCTTAGCTTTGAAGCTTAAGAACATGATGGGAAGGAATGGCCTGCAGCCTAATGTGGTTACGTTTAACACTCTCATCCATGGGTTTTGCAGAACTGTGAAGTTGCAAGAAGCTAGTAAGGTTTTCGGTGAGATGAAAGCGGTCAACGTGGCTCCCAACACTGTCACATATAACACTCTGATTAATGGGTACAGCCAACAGGGTGATCATGAGATGGCGTTCCGGTTTTATGAAGATATGGTCTGCAACGGGATTCCGCGTGACATTTTGACGTACAACGCACTGATCTTGGGACTGTGCAAGCAAGCTAAGACAAGGAAAGCTGCACAGTTTGTTAAAGAACTCGACAAAGAGAATTTGGTGCCAAACTCGTCAACCTTCTCTGCGCTAATAATGGGACAATGCGTGAGGAGAAATGCAAACCGTGGTTTTGAACTGTACAAAAGCATGATTAGGAGTGGTTGCCATCCGAATGAACAAACATTCAACATGTTGGTTTCTGCCTTCGATAAGAATGAGGATTTTGATGGAGCAGCACAAGTGCTAAGGGAAATGCTCAGAAGATCAATTCCTCTTGATTCAAGGACTGTTCATCAGGTCTTCAATGGCCTTAAGCATCAAGGGAAAGACCAACTTGTGAAAGAGTTGTTACAGAAGATGGAAAGGAAACAAATTTTACAAGAAACTTTTGGTAACTGAGAAGCAGAAGGTATTAACCAAAAAAATCAGTTTCTTTTTGTTTAGTGGAAGAAGAGATTGATTATGCGTTTATAAAGGATGCAGTCTCATAAGCATTACAAGACACAAGGCAAGAGTATTAAAAGTATATGATACAACAACAAATGAATTTCTCGAATGAATTGAGGGAAAGTCACACTCAAAGAATAAACTGTTGTTTTCTGGACAAGAACTATAATATAAACAGACAACATGCATAAAGAGTCGTCACTGCAAATAAAACAGAGAGGTTGTCACGAAGACTCGCTAGGAAAATTTTTTATGGTTCCAGCTGTTAAGATTGACCGAGTCACACAGGGAAATCTTACGAGGGCGGAAGACATTATCAACAGAGGAGATGAAATCAAGGGTTGATCACAGAAGTAGAAGAGAGGCAAGAACCATTGCAAAAACATAAAGTAGAAGAGATAAAGTGATTCGGGTTTGTCCACTAGGTGCTTGTGCATTGGTTGATGGTGTTCCAGGGGTTGAGGTTGGGGGTTTTGCTGTAACCGGAGGTAGTGGTGGCTCAGTGACATCAGCATCTGTGAAAACCGGGTTTGGAGCCTCGGCTGGAGGTAAGGAAGCAGAACTCACAAGGGCTAAGAGGGCACCGGGTTGAACAGGGGCCATGTAAGGTACATTATCTTTGCTGCTCAAACATAGATTTCCTGCAGAAGAGGAACAAAGTTAGGCATTGATGTAAATAATTTTGTGTTGTGAGACCTTTGGTGCAAAATTTGGCCCACTTACTTTTGTATCTTGCAGCTGTGAAAGGGAACTCAGTGATGGTTCCGTTTATACCGGGTCCAAAGATATAAGAGTTTATCTCAACGGTTGCATCAGAAAAGAAGTCATATGGTTGAGATACAAACTCATTCTGAAATAGTTCCACATAAACTGGGAGCTGAGACTTCTGCAGCTTCTCCACAACATTGGTTTGCTGCGTGATGAACGACTCAGCAAGAGGAAAGACTGATGGTTTTTGGATCACAACAGCATTAGCAAATTTCTTTATGTCTTCGACGGCAGAGTCGAGAATGTCACGGATGTTTTCTTCAACTTTGTAGACAGTTTCGTACTGACTCTGCTTCTTGAAGTCAACTAAAACCGAACTGTTTGTCGACTGAATCATGACCTTTTTGGTTGTACTATTGCTGTAGCCAGTCTGTGTGAGTGTATCAAGAACCGCTTTAACAACATCGAGTCCTTGCTCCTCTCGCATGTATGCTGCATTCTGAGGGACACAAAAACATAGTGGCGTGAGTCGCGTGACCATTAGAATGTGACGGTCTGATTGATAAAATCGTAAGCCTAAGGGGTGTAGGGAAACTCACCTCTACACTGATCAATACACCGGAGAGAGAAGTGGAGTTCTTTGCCAAATTTAGGAAATCAGCAAGTGAAAGAAGCTTCCCAGCATTTTTCTTGTTTGGATTCCTTAACATATTGTATCCTCTGTAGGGGTTTGAAATAGCAGCTGCAAAAAGAAAAAGAAAAATAGATTGGAGAATTTTCAATTTTAACTCTCAAGCTGTGTAATTTTATTGTAGCCTGTACTTTTGACCCAGACATTAGCATCTATATGTAATTTCTTTTAAGTTAAGTAGTAGGAATAGTAGGAAGACAAGTGTACAAAACAGACCACCATTTATGTGAAAGCAAGTTGAAAAACTGAAGGCAAACTTACGGGTCAAGGTCTGAATCTCAGGCCATGTGAGACTGAAAGTGTATATTCCACCCACTGAGCTTAACTCAGAAACAGTTGTAGAACGGTTTCTGAAAGGAGTTAGGGCAACAGTTGTGGTGTTCCCGAGATCGATCGAGCTTGAGCAAAAAGGTATCCCGTCGCTAGACATATAGACCGAACAGTCGATTACATCAGCACCATCTTTGATGGCTTTCTCATATGCCAAGTCTGTACATCCAGGATAGTCTCCACTCGCACCATTTTTGGATATAACAAGAAAATCCACTGAGACAAGAACCATAAATTAATTTCAGGTTTCTTCAATGGGGTATGATAAGTCTAGCAAGATGCAAAGAAAAATAATCAGCTCTCATACCTTGTTTTGTAGCGTTTCTGCCAATGTGTGAGAAGCAGTCTGAAGAAAAAAATATTTCGATTTTGAGTATCTTCAACGATAGATTATCGACAAAATGCTTGTCAGGAGAAGAGATTTTGCTTACCGCGGGATGCAGAAGCAGTTATAGGAAAATCAGAGAGCACACCGTCGACAGAGAAATTGCCATTGTCCACAAAAGAAAGATACTCAGACACTGGATCGAAACTGTAGTCGTGTGCAATATCGACATCATTTGCAAAACCTGAGACAAAAACTTCTAATCCTAGTTTGTGAGCATCTTGAACTAAGGATGTAGGAGGAAGCAAGTACAGCTGGTCATCGAGTGGCAATATGTAAGACTTGGGAACAAGAATCCCTGAAGCAAAAGTCTTGACAAAAGTAAGGTTGCTCAAGATAGAACCATAGGTCCTGTTTGTAGTCGGCTCAAACTCTTCTTGACCGAGAAAACGGAACACAAAACTGGGTCCATTACGCCCGAAACGACCAGCAATCTTCCTAAAAAAGTTCACCTCAGGGGAAGAGATGAAATCAATGGGGACAGTTTTAGAAGCTGCAATAAGAAAACTGCTCATGCTGAGATTGTGCTGAGCGTAGAAGGCATCGTGCTGAACGTTCAACCAGAAGAATGATGGTTTGATCTGCGTGGCTACGCTTTGAACCGTCAAAATGGGGTTAACATTAGTATCAAATCTCTCAGAGCGAGATAATATTCCTCGGATCACTGCAACAACAAGGTGAAAAACAAGTTAAAGAAACGAAACACAAAAGCAACAAAGCAGTAAAACCTGATGATGAGTCATACAACACTTACAGTTAACATTCTTGAGATCTTTCAAGGAGAAATCAATGGTGAACCAACCCTGAGTAGGGACTCCGTTAACGGAGTA